TGCATGTTCAAACACAAATGTCATTTATTAGGGAGATGGTATTGAATTAAAAACTGGATCTTATGGAAATATCATTCGAAATAATGTCATTGTCAATACTAAATATCCAGGAATTACTCTCTATTCAACTTATTACACCAATTATGATGCCAATGAAAAAGCATTGGCCATTTCAAAACCAAATATCATTGAAGGAAATATTATTTGGAACAGTGGTGATAATGGAATTCAAGTGACTGGAAATGCCATTATTCGAAACAATATTGTCATGAATTGTGGATCAAGTTGTATTGCCATTCAACTCAATCAAGGTGTTGTTGAAAATGTCAAAATTCTTTTCAACACTGTTGTGACAGCCAGTGGTGGAGCAGGTTTAAGAGTCACCAATTCAGGTCCAGGAATTGTCATTGCCAATAATGCTGCTTATAGCAACACTGCTCTCTATGCTGCTCAAACTCTTCCAAATGATGCCATTGTCTTGAATAATGTCATTCAAGGTTCCACCAACATTCTCACTCTCAATGCCACTTTGAAAATTGGAAATTTGAATTCTGATTTTCAACAAACTTCAACACTTCCTTACAATCTCTTTCCAACTTCAACAAGCTCTGTATTGGGAAAGGCATCTCTCTCACAAAGTGTGAATTATGATTTTAATGGAAATGTTCGAAGTGGTGCTACTTTTTTGGATTGTGGTGCTTATCAGAGAGGATCTTCAACCACCAATCCAGGATGGACTCCCAAAATGGATTTAAACCTTATATTAATATTCCAAATCCACAGTCAAATCCGCAACCATCACCAAATACATCTGGCAAGGGTTCACCAAAGGCAAATAATGCAGTCACTTTATCAGCAAATATGCTCTTATTGGTTGTTATTGCTTTCACTGCTTTATGTATCATGTAAACAATGGCACGCTTGAAGGACTCCTCTCACAATAAGAGCTCAATAAACCATGTACTTTTGACATTTTTAGGCCAGTAAGATGGAATTTTATTATTGTTGTGCATCGTCGACAATGGACAAGCTATTGAAGAGGTCATTTCAGAAGAAGAGGAACAGATAATGGAATCATACCCTTTTTTTCGGGTTGTCAGTCAAAAATAAATTATGTTCAATAAATTAATTCGCTCCAAATCAATGTGTACTCTCCATTAGGCTATCAATATCAATACGTGACCATAACATAATTTGAAAGAAGTAATTTGAAGTGGAAAAGTTGAAATTTTATCGATTAAGGATCAAAATGGAAGAGAAAGATTACAAATATTTATCAATCTTGGCGGGCATTTCTTCAATGGTTGTGGAGTAATATTGTTCGATATCTTTCAGAATACCCACATCCTGCTCAGTTACAAAATTAATTGCAACACCTTTCCGACCATATCTTCCTGATCTTCCAATTCTATGGATATAATTCTCACGATTTTGTGGTAAATCATAGTTAACTACAAGTGACACTTGTTGAACGTCGATACCTCTTGCCCAAACGTCTGTCGTAATGAGCACTCTAGATTGTCCTTTTCTGAACTCCTCCATGATGGCCTCTCGTTCCTTTTGAGGCATCTGGCCATGCATAAAGGAAACAGTAAAGTTATGCTTTTTCATTTGTTTGGCAAGCCATTCAACTTTGTCTCGTTTGTTACAAAAAATGACAGCCTGTGTAACTGTTAAGGAATTGTAGAGATCACATAACGTTTCAAATTTCCATTCTTCTTTCTCCACAGATACAAAGAATTGTTTGATACCTTCCAACGTAATTTCATCTCTCTTCACTAAAATCTTAATTGGATCTGTCATAAATTGTTGAGTAATTTCCAAAACTTCAGCTGGTAGCGTAGCACTAATGAGTACAATTTGTGTATTATTTAGCAGTCTATAAATTTGATAAATTTGTTCCTTAAATCCTTGACTTAACATTTCATCTGCTTCGTCCAAAACTAGAATTTTTACATGCTTAACATTTAAGTGTTGTTGTCTTATCATGTCGAAAACTCGTCCAGGAGTACCACTCACAACATGAACTCCTTGTTCTAATTTTTTAATATCCTCTCCAACTTTGTTTCCTCCAACACAAGCATGAACTTGTGCATGAAGATAATCTCCTAAATATGACATTACTTTTTGAGTTTGTTGTGCCAACTCACGAGTCGGTGAAAGAACAATGGCCTGTGGGTGTAATTGCTTGATATTCAACATTTGTAAAATAGCAATCGAAAATGTTGCAGTTTTTCCTAAATATCGTACGTGATGAAAAAGTTTAGCTGGATTTCAACATGAGGACAACAACGTACCTGTTCCGGATTGACTTTGAGCAATCAAATCATATCCCTGAATGATGGGTTTAATAGCTCTCTGTTGTATTGCTGAAGGCTTTGTAAATCCATATTGATAAATTCCACGCAACAAGTCATCACTCAAATCCATTTCCTCAAATGTTTTATAGACATCCAATTTAACTGATGTACTAATATCCTCACCATCCTCTTGTCCCGACGACGATGAAGCATTCTTTTTTGATGATTGTTCTTTGGAATAACCCGAAGATTTTTGTTGTCGTGATGATGATGATGATGTAGAACCTCTTTGCGATGATGATAATTCCTTCTTGTTGGAAGAACCAACCACCGATGAGAGAGAAGATGAAAGCTTTTGTGTTTTGTTCATTTTTTTGAACCTGCACTTTGATGATACAAACAACAACAAATCATACAAATTGAATATTGAAAAACATTCATGAATGATGAACATAATGTGAAAATCTCATGTTACAATCCGAGAATTTGTTTCTTCTTCAAATCAAATTCCTTTTGAGTAATAATTCCTCGATCTCGTAAAGATGCCAATTTCTCCAACTCGGCATACTTGTCACCACCACTACCAGAACCACTTGGACTATATCCACTACTACTACGAGGACTATTATTGTTACTGCCACTTCCACTACTGATTGATGATTTCGAACTTGGAGAAATTGGAACTCCGTTTTTCACATCTCTGACGACTTCTCTTTTCATTTCATTCTTGTGTTGGGATGTGGTGATGGATGGAACGTGGCCCTTTTCTGTGAATGAGAATGAACATGTTCGTGAATGAATTCAATGAATCGTGTGTGAATTATTATATTTAAATAAATGTATAGTTATATTAAATAATGATCATCATGATCGATAATGAGTGATCAGTTCGATGTATTTTCACAAAATGAATGAATTGGATTCGATGACGTACCGTATGGATTTTGATTAACAGTTTTTTGTTTGTTCCAATCTATTAACAAGGATGATTACAGAAAATGATCATGAAGGTTCGATTTCAAATAATAATAATAATAAATTGACAAGTGTGTGACTGACACCAACCTTCCATCACTCGTTGCTGAGAAAATGAAATCTTTGAATCATCCTTTTCCTTTTGATTCAAAGTAAGCATGGTGTTATACTTGTGGGCTATTCATGATGGTAATAATGATGATGATTTGATCATATTGAAATGGATGATTCCGATGATTTCACACACACACTCGTTGATGATGAATTTAAAAAATTCTTTCACTTACCTTCCTTGTCCTATAATAATTGAAAAGAATTAAAGAATACATTGATTATTATTCATTGTTGTTCTGTGAAAAGGAAAAACAATCATCATCACCACCTACCTTTTGTTCATATCCCTTCAACAAGTCCTTGATCGAGCTCATTTTATTTCTTTTGATTTTTTTTGTGTTGATTTGTGACAGGCATGATTTTGTGAAAACTTGTTGACGAGCTTTTCATCTTCCTTAATACTTACACGAATTGATGAATTCATAAAACAACAAATATAGTTTAAAACATCAAATCGACTAGGTTAAAACAGTACACCTTCGGCATGGCATGGTAAATTTTCCATCTCCTTAGCAATTTCCTCTTTCAATTCTTTGTCACAGGATTTGCAAAGGAAATGTTTGGTGGGTTCATAATCTCTTCTGGCAATAAATACATCCTCAGTATTCCAATCGATACTCGGATCAACACCTTGTGCATCATACTCAGTATACGGATTGGAATGTGTTTCTTCTTCTTCACTATCATTCTTGTGGAAACTCTTTGACCCTTCACAAGATGCCAATTTCACAACCTCAGGATGCTCTCTTGCGAGTTTCCAAAATTCCAAATCGTTTTGATATTCTTCTTCTTCCAATAAGGCACATTTGGAAGGTGAATATTCGTAGGTTCCACATTGTTTACATTTGAGAATTCTGTACTTGCGTTGAAGGTGTTGATCCGAGTATCGATTGGAAAGAACAATGGAATGGTCTTGATTCTTCAACGTTGAACTCGAGAATAATTCATTTGGTTTTTCAACAAATAAATATTCATCGTGATGTAGAATTTCATGTATTCGTTCATGGAGTAGATCATGTTTTTCTGATATCCTCATGATCAGGCGATCATTTAGAGAGATGGAAGAAGGATGGATCTGTGAGGCATCAATTAAATAACGACCATTACTTCTCTCAAGACAAGGCATGAGAATTCTTAAGGCCATTTCAAGTCCATACTTTCTACAGAAATCGATCAATGGATACGATGCATTTCTTAAAACAATAGGATAAAGATAACAACTTTCATCCAAATCCACAGATTGAATTCCAATGTTGTGAGAAAGAAAAGGATGGAAGCATGGATGCACAAAATATCGTTCGCATGGATTGAGTATTCTTTTGGGTATATAGGGATGAGAGAACAATCCAATCTCTAAATAATGTTTCGAGTATTCTTGAACAATTTCAGAACGAATCTTTTCCACAATAAAATCATTATGCATTTCATGAGAGAGAGGATGATGGGTGGGTAGGGAAAGTGTGAAAAAACCACGTTTTCCATACTTGATGGCACGTTTCAAGTTAATTTCACCATTCGAAGTCTCTAGAGGTAGAATATTCAACTTGTACTTCAATGATCGTAATCCTTCCAATAAGGTGTACAGAGAAAAACCATCGTAGGCAAATCGACAACAATCTAGATCGAAAAATACAAGTAATTCTTCAATGGTTTCAAACTTTAGCAATACTATTTGAATGTTACAATGATTATCAATGCTCACTTGATATTGGTGATCAATTTCGTTTTCAGGAGAGCATATATTGATGGTAGTTCTTGATTTCATGATATTATACGTTAAATGTTGTGAGAGTTTTTCAAATTTTGATAAAACGCTTTTCACAGCTTGTGAAACAGTGGTTTTCTCATCCTCTCCATTACACATGACAAAAATATCAATATCTCCACAACCACAACCTGTTAATGCATGCAGAATGGAACCACCAGCAACAACAAATCTCTCTCGAGTGGGTGTGGTTTTGTTATGTTCAAAAGCACAGTCATAGATTAGAATTTTCGCAATTTCTTTCAAAATATCATTCTTAAAACGATGATCGAAATCTTGGAGAGTCATTTCGTGAGGATGCTTGAAAAAGCGTACAATTCTTTCACAAAATGGAGTCTTTAAAATCCTGTTCATGGAATCTGTATAAAAGTGATAATCAACATGGCAATCAACTTCTTCAATAGGATCATAGATGGTCTCTGTAATGACAAATTCTTTCTTGGATCGATCCATTTCGAAGAGAGTTGGCTCATTTTGATGTTTGAACCTGATTTTTCGTTTGACATAGTCATTGAACGTGAGATCGTAGGTATCTTTTTGAGGAAACATGCCATATGGAAAAACCATGGTCTGAAGCATCTCTTCCTCTGAACAAAAAATCTCTTCTTTTGAGCTGTAGGGTGTTGGTGGTGTTGTGATAGATTTTGTAATTTCTTTGTCTTGATTTTTTAAAAGTTCCTTTGCATCCTCTTTTGATATTATTGTCTGTTTGTGATTATCAGCACTGTAAAAGTATGTGGATGGCCACGTAGAAGCACTTTTTTGCCTAAAGTAATCGTCATAGGTCAGCATGACATTCTTGTTGTTGACACGATTGGAAAACATTTCAATCAATCTTGGAGGTATTTGCCTCTTCAGCACATGCTTTACTTCCTTGTTTAAATAGTTCAATCGAATTTGATTTAAACTCGTTGCCATCACTGCATCAAATAATTGATAAATATGTCTGTTGCATTGAATGAAATTAAAGAGCGAATGTTTGTCCATCCAGAAGAATAATTCCAAAATCATTTCATTAGGAAGAGAAAAAGTAGATAGTGCGACTCTGTCTTCTCGCTTGATGGACTTTGTCGAGAAATCCTTTGTTTCCAAATCATCATCCATCCACTCATCGGAAGATGGTGGAGTGTTGATGACAAACACAAAAACGTCCTCGTCACGAAGTCGCTTCATTTTTTTTATAAAGTTCCAGTCTTTGTTGGATTGTGCTTGGTTGGGTTTAATAATGTTTAAACATTTACATAACCTCTTCGATGTAGGCAATTGAATAAGGTCCTTGCAAGTTGAGAGGATTGTAGTGAGAACTTGCTTGTTCTATATAGACAATCTTACCCACAACCACAGATAATGAATCAAAACTGGAGGAATATTTTGATTTGAGCAAGGACAAGGACTCGGGTGCAATGTAGATACGTTCTGGATTCTTACTGATAGCAGAGAATAAATCTTTGGATTGTCCATTTCGATAGAAAATGACCATATCATGGACCTCAGGTTCCAAGGAAACAAATGTCTTGCTTGGTTGCTTATTCTGCTCCTCCACTCTGAGATAACTCTTTTCAAGTTTGGTATATTCTTCTTGAATGACCTTGAATGATTCTTCTTGTTCTTTCAACTTTTGTTGATTCTGTTGAAGTTGAGTTTGGAGAGAGGTGATGAGAGTAGCTCCCTTCAAAGCAGCTGTTTCGTACATGTGTGCCTTGATTGATAATTCTTTGACTTCTTTCTTTAGCTTTTCAACTTCAGTATTTGATGCATTTGATCTTGCTAGTTGTTCCTTTTGTTCTTTCACTTGTTGAGAAAGCTCATCGTTGGTAGTACATAATTGTTCGATTTGCAACTTGGTTGCATTTAGTTGAGATTCAAGTTCTCTAATTTCTTGCAATTTCTTTTCATATTCATTAGTTCGTGACAGGAGCTGTTGTTCAAGTTTTTCAACATTGTTGGTCTCTTGCAAATTTTGATGGTGTTTCTCGTTGAAAGCTTTTTTGAGAGCTTCAAGTTCTTTTTCCTTGGTTTCTTCTGCTAATTTGGCTCTGTTCAGCTGATCTACAAGGTCTTGCACTTCTTTATCCTTCGATTCAAGCTGCTTTTGGAGAAGTTCCAATACTTGGGATTTAGACTCGCTGTTTTCTTGGGCATCCTTCATCTCCTGTTGAAGTGTGGCAATGATCTGTCTACTCTCAGAAAGCTCGTTTTTAAGGTTGTTACATAATTTGGTTGATTCTTCGATTGCTTGATTCTTGCTCTCTTCAACCTGTCTTGTATTTAGCATTAAATCCATGAATTGCTGCTCTTTTTCATGGTTAGCCATGGTTAACTGAGATTGAGCCTCTTTGAGCATTTCCAATTCATTCAATAGTTTTTCTTTTTCCATTGTTAATTGGTTGTTTTGATCATTCTTGAACGACACTTCAGAGTTGAGCGCTTGAACTTGGGTAGCTAACTTAATAAGCCTTTCTTGCAAGGTTTTGTTTTGGTTTTCTACATTCACACAACTTGTTGCATTTTGTTGAATGATCGAGTCTTTTTCTTCTGCATATTTCTTGATGCCTTCTAACGTTTCCTTTAACATGCTTATTTCCTGTTTGAGCTGTTCGGTTTCGTTGGCCCTTTGTTCTTGTTCCATAGCAAGCAGAGAATTAAGTCGATTATTCTCATCAGCCATACTTTCACAGCGCGAATTAGCTTCTTCAATTTGTCGTTGATGTTCCTCCTTCTCCTTTGAGAAGTACATAGCATTGTCTATTATTTGTTGTTTGAGAGCGCTAATTTCTTCTTGTAAAGCGTTGATCTTGTTATTGGTTTCTTGGTCATCGTCTATATAGGACTGATATAGAGAATCTGGCAAGGAAGATTGCTGTTCGTTTCTAATACCAGGCTTTGGGGAGGAATTTCTGAAAGATTCAATACCCTCGTTTGCCTTGTTAATGGCATAGTCAATCATGACACTGTTGGTCATATTCTCGATTGAAGATTCTGAACTCAACAAGGACTGTTGTGGTCTTTTGGATATAACAAAGAAGTCATAATCATCATATTCATCTTGAAGTTTGGAAGTCTCTTGAGGGAGGTTAATGTCAATGGTTCGTGCAATACTTCTTTCAAGTTTGCGAAGTCCGTTAGTAACAGCTTCAATTTGAATTCTGTCCCCAATAACTCCAGGGATCAGGAAACGAACTTCTGTGACTTGTGTTTCATTGAGATTGCTCAAAATTTCCTGTTCACTCTTCTCTCGTCTCTGATTTTCATCTTCACATGATGTCCTGATCATATCAGTGAATATTCTAAAGTTCTTGATAAGAGAGTTTTCAGTAAACGACTCTTTTCTTTTCTTAATTTCGCCAAATAGTTTGGAAATAATATCTGGCAGCTTGACCAAGAAAACAAGCTTTTCCAATGAGCCTCCTTCTCTTGCCTGGTTGAAGTATGAAGTAGTATTAACCATTAACGTCAACATAGATTTGCTACACATCTTCTCCATTTGTTGGTTGAGCTTGTTTCTAAGCTCATAATCTCTAAGAACATAAAGACATTGAGACTCTCTGACTTGGTTGTCATAACCAACAATTTCCTTTAACTTATTCTGGGCGGTGTATTCAAAGTTAATATATTGCAACTCATCATTTGTTTGCTTCACTTGTTCATAATGAACCAAAAGTTGGTCTAAAGCTTCCTTTTGCTTTTTAACTACACTTTCAATGGAAATCAAATCTTGCTGAAGCTCTTCTGTAATATCGTTGTCTTCTCTCGATAACTCATTGATTTGTTTGGAGATAATATTTTTACAATTCTGTTGGATTGAAACCATTTTGTCATACGATTTTGCAGTATTAATAAGAGTTCTGAGAGAATTCTCATCTAATTGCATGGCCCTCATTAAATCGCTCTCGTTGACAGTTTTGGTTTGAGTGAGGTTGTCAAAAAGATCCTCAAATGTTACATTTTGAATGACACTCTTGTACTTTTCAATGTTGGTTGTCTCTTCTTCTACTAGTTTACAATAATTAGCAAACATGGTATTTTTGATGAAATTAATGAGAGTTTCCTTAGCCAATTGCACAATCGATCTTTTTTGCTTTCTGTCCTCACAATCATTCCATCTGGATTCCGTTACTTGGCATGTTTGTCTACACTCATTCACCATGACATCAACCCGTTCCATAGTACTCGCAATAGAGTTATGGTCAACCAACATTGGGAGCATACTTTGAAGGGTTGGAGGTTGGGAGTTGAGAGATTGCTGAGAACTCTTGATTTCATTCGGAACATAAAGGAAACGAGTGGTTTCATCATGAGAGAGAAGGAATGGAAGGATTTCCTTGTCTTTTCCGGCAATGATCTTTCCTTCTTGGCCAACGCCATGACGAGATACAACATCTTGTGAGAGTTGTTCTCCGGTTGCAGAATGATAGGTCTGAATTACCATGACTGATCTAAAGTAGCTGTTAGTTGTGGTAGAATGTTTGTTGATTTGATGGATATTATAGTGATCACGTTGAATGTTTCTGGTGATGATGGGTCACACGCACACGGGTATTAACGTTGGAATGATTTGTTTTTGTTTCAACAACAAATAATCGGATTCGATTACTAATAATAGTCTAGTAAGTGATGATGATGAAGTCTGCGTTTCCTACTCACTCGTCTTTCCAATTATCAAACAATAACCGACAAGGAAGTTTTACGTGATGAGACTTTTTAATAATGGGAATTCGAACACCACAAACACGTTTTTTTTAGATTTGAAAACTTTCTCCAAGCCGTTCAACCACCTAGAGCCTCCTGTTGCAAGTGGAAGGCCATTAGAAGATTGAAAAAGGAACAACAAGTCGGGTTACATGGCTATGCCTCAAGACAATCACCTCCTTATTCCTTCGAAGCACCACATCAAGAGGCAGCAATGATCTTCTCGCGAGTCCTTAGTCAAACATGTTCTACGTAGAAACTCCAATGCCCAGAGAAAATCGGCTGCACCAAGTTAGTTGGACTGATAATGTTTGAGGGACTGAACCAATCCACCACTTGGAGCTCTGTTTTGTTTCTCAAATCGCTCCACATGACGCATCAACTTGGCATGAAAATTGTTTTCCAAGGTTTCTTTGAACGACGAAGAGAAGTATTCTGGATTGAGCCAACCATTGGGATCGAAAATAATGCTGTAGTAGTAGCGACATGTGGTGTCTGTCAGTTGTTCAACAAGGAAGGCACTTTTCACTTCGGCACGAACAAATTTAGAGGTCTCAGGTATCTTTGGATTATTAATACTTCGTGTGATGCACACATATCTGTCTGTATCTTGTTCATATCTGCAACAATAGGCGTGAACGAGTTCTCGATTTTGCTGTGGAAAACTCATGGAATAAATTTCATGATACACTGCATGACCATATTTTCCATCCGTAATGAAATCAATAAAAGTGGAGGATTCTACTTGTTCCAAACGTGTACTGAATGCAGAATCATCCATCCAGGCATTAAATACTTGTTCTGCACGATAGTTCTGTATTTCGTAGACGTATTTAATTTCCACGTGTCGTCTGCTATTGCTTAAATGATTATGAGTTCCTTCAGGAGAGAAGTATGTTTTACCATATTCATTCTCAAAAACTAGTCGCCAATTTGAAAGATCCAACAAATGTGAAATTCTCTGTTTAAATTCAAAGTTGTTGAATCGATGGTTCTCGAGATTGATAATTTCAGTGCCACACTTTTCACACCAAAGGAAAAAGGCCTTCTCCTCTTCTTCTTGATCCTCGAGAGATGAGTCATTGCTTGTAGATGATTTGAGTAAGGCCTTTAGACCATAGGCATCTTCTTTTTTCTTTTTCTCAATGTAGCTTTCAAAGATTGGTGATTTGACAACGTCTGGAAATACCTCTTGAAGCGAACGAATGCATAAATTTTCAAAGTTGGTGAACAAGTCTGGTGGACATTTTGTGGCATTACAATCTTTGAATTTAAGTTGGAAAGGGCCAAAAGCATTCGCCATGTACTTGAATTTGAGTCGTCTTGGAGCAGATTCATCAAGATAGGTCTGAACTAATTCTTTTGCAATTTCATATCTGTTACTGTCATCCATAACTTCCTTGTAGTCCAAGACACTGATAAAGAAATGAACCATGTCAATGTAATGCCCTTTAGCAATACTCTTGAAGATCGTCAAAATCTCTTTTTGAAGAATTAGTTTTTTAAAGTTAAACGATTGTGGATCATACAAATTCACTCGCGCAAACATGTTCTCTGCAGCCTTATTTTTCATTAATGTATCGACATCATGGTGTTTCTGATGGAGTAAATAAGTGCTAATGGTATGTCCAGGCTTAATTTCAACCACTTGATTTTCTTCAAATTCGAAAATGTCATAGACACGTTCGTAGGATTTTCTTGAAACATTAATTCTTGCGGCTGTGCCTTTGGATTCCATTACTGATAATTATAACGTTTTTAATAACGTTTTCAACCACCATGTTGAACAGGTCCACAAAAAAAATTGACTCGTTACACTTACATTGTGCAATGGTTACAGTTTCTCCCCAAAGATCATATGCAAATTTTAATGTACCTAATGTTATTATTGAATGTTCAATCAATTGATGAGTCGAGAAATTGTGATCCACTTACCAATGCTGTGGAAAAGAGTCAATTAGAGAACAGTGAAAAATAAAACATACCATCCAGCAACCACAGGTCCAGTGTGAATTCCAATTCTAATTTTGAGGTTCGATTCATGCTGTTTGTTGTACTTTGAAATAACGGAAAGCATGTGTACAGCAAAGGTAATGACTCTTTCGACATGATCGTGTTGATTTTCAAGTAACCCTCCGACACAGAAATAAGCATCACCACTATCATGAATAAATTCTTGTTGTTGAAAAGTGTTTCCATTTGAAAAACTTCAAACTTACATGGTCTTAATTTTTTCCAACTCTAGCTTCTTAATAGTTTCATCAAATCCATTCACAATGTCGTTTAGAAGTTGAACAAGATCTGTAGCTGAAAGAGAACTTGACATGTGAGTGAAACCAACCATGTCTGAAAAAAGACATGTGACATCATCAAATCTTTTTTAAATATTAAAGATTTAATATTAAAAAGATTTGAGAAGAATCTATTCATAAAGCCTTACTTACTTTTCCGAAATGAATGTTTCTCCAGATTTAAGCTATTCACATGCAAAATAGCAAGAATATAAGAACAAAAGTTGCGAACGAATGAAACTTACTCTTGAAGCGACATGTCCAGGAAGGACATTTAACAGAAGAGAATCACTCTTTTTTCTCTCTTCTTCCAAAAGAAATTTATGCTTTTTGTCATTGGTCACATCTCTAATAAAAATGGTGATAAATCTCTTCTTTTCAAAAATGGAGCATCCCACAGAGCAAGCAACAGATAAAGTGGATCCTAATAGATCATAATCAACAATGTGTCAAAAATTTTGAAAATTTTTGGATCAACCAGCAGTACATACCATTTTTCCTTTGTGCATCCAGTTCAACATATTCTCCATAGGAATGAGTAGCTTTTAACATCTTGTCAATGCAAGGCTTTAGAACTTTGTTATAACTTTCAGCAGTGACGACTTGTGAAATTTCAGTTAACTCTCCATGATCATATCCCAGCATGACTAATGCGCTGCGGTTCACAAAATCAATTGCAGTTGAATTGGTTTTTAAAATAATACCTCCCTCAATGGCCTCATCTATTGATCATTATTATAATTAATGATCGACGAGAATGTGGTGATTCTTTTTTATCAGTGATATATCACAACAAAGAAACTTACTTAAAATTGCCTCCACTTTGGTAATTTTGTTTTTCTCTTTCTTTTTCTTCACAGAAAAGCTATTGAAAAGAACAAATGCTTTGACCAACTCATGATTTTCAATGATTTGTTCTGGAACACAATTCATCAATCTTCGAAGGCAGTCAATTTCATTGCAAACATGGCATAGATGGTGGTAATGCAACACTGAAAGGATCAACAAAAGTAACAGACAAAGCACAAGAGTACAAATTGAAATTGGTGTCGCTGCTGTTGTACTACAAGTTACAATGTTTGTGGAGGCTCGATAAATTCCTGCAATAACCATGTTAGAAAGAGTGGAAATTTCTTCAAAGACCGACACATCCATGGGGTCCTTATTTTCAATGTTATTAAGGATATTCTGTGTGCAGATATCGACATGCATTTGATACAGCTCGACCATGGCATTAAGATTTTGACAAGTGAAATTTAAAGACGAGCAGTTGTTGGATGACAAATTAAATCCATCAAAACTGCTCAGGCTAAATAGTTCTGTTCCCGATCCATATCGAAATTCACTCCAATTTTCCTCAAATACTTCTTCATAAGAAACAATCTCTAATAATAAAGACATGGATTCTTCTGTAGAGTTATTGATCATCATCATCATTTCCAAATCACCGAGTTTCATTTGTTGTGTCGTGCATGACTTCAATGCTTTGGATGAGTGTTGAATCTTATCCATAACGATCGAGTTATAAAAATCCAAAGTATAAACTTCATAAAAAACCAGCAGCAATCCAGACAAGCTGACAAATATGGAAACAATCAATAACAATCGTATCATGGATTTGCTAGTGAAGCGAATATTGATCGGATTTGAAAAGAACGAGTTTTTGCTTGGTCCCTGAGTTGTGTTAAATATTGTTCCAACAATGTCTTTGGGCAAGTGTTGGAAAACATTAAGAATTTTTCTCTTTCTTTGGAAGAAACTTCTCTCAAAAGATGCATAAACTCCCACAAGAGCAATGTATATGATCATAAAAGCCAATATCACATAAATCAGATAGGACAAGTGTTGTTCTATTTTAGAGTCTGTGATCGTGTTGCAATAGGAAGCCAATAACTCTGAAAAATATTCTGCATTTTGCTGGAGAAGTAAGTATTCATAAGAATGAATAATAAAGTCAGGAGTCACACCTTTCCATGAGGACAATCGACCAGTGATCACAACAAGCTCATTGGAAATATCTGAAATAGACATGTTGACAAGATTTCCGTTTGGTAGCTAACAATAGAAGACACATTAGCATAACTAATTCAAACTGGATCAAAACTTACTAGTACAGGATTATTAACAAGAATACGATCTTTTTCTAAAATTCTATCCATTCCTTGAACAGAGTTTTCTGTCTTCAAACTTTCTTGAATCTCTTTCATGTTGGAGTAAAATAATGTTTGATAGGGTACGCCCTGATGGAGAGACCTTTCAAGGGATTTCAATTCTTTTAGCAAATACACAGGTGTGTGAACTCGATGACATTGAGTGGAAGCAAAAATTATATTTGGAAAGCTGCGTGTCACAATAATCATGGAACAAATAAAGAAACAAAGTATGAATAGGACTGACACTGCCTCAACCCAAAGTAAGCTGACTTTTTGCCACCATCTTGTTGTTGGAGCATTAATTGCGTCCCTGTACTTGTTTGAGAATTGAGTGGACAAGTTGACATTTCGTGCAGTAATGTCTTGAGTGACAATGATTTTGGATGGAGATTCCAGAATGTCCACTAATGGCATGACTCGATTACTTCTGTTGATAGAAAGAGATGACCTTAATGATGCAGTAGTAAGGACTCTTGACATGGATTTTACAAAAGATGGATGATAACCAGGGTCCAATGGAGGAATCGATACATAGCCTTCTTGTTGTTGTTGGAATTTGAATTCAGAAAGGTAGCATTGTCTTTTTCGTGCAATCTGTACATTTTGTGGGTAGTTCAATTGTAAGTAATCGAATATTTCATCAATTTCTTGTTCTAAATGATACATTTGAGTGGAAAGATTTGACAATTTGTCTTTTTCTTCTTCGTTGGACAGCAATGCTTGCCAAAAAGATTTTCTCAAGGTACGAATGTGGTCTTGATATTTTGCAACTTTGTCCAACAGGATTCTAATTTCGTTTGTCATTTGATTGTTAAACTTATTTTCAATTTCGTTCTTTCGAATTGCAACGACAAATCTGCTGAAAATGTTCGCTTTTGCTGTGGCCACCGACATTAAACTCAGAGAAAATTGAGGAATCTCATGATATTTGGCCGTGTAAAGCGAACACATGATAGCGGCGGAAGTATTAAGCTTTTTCTTTTTGGCAGTAATAATTTTGAAAATGTCAAAATCTGGTCGATATTCTGTAATGCAAAGTTTTAGAATATTCTTCAAGGTTTTGTTGCTGAAATAGTCGGCCAATGTCTGATCGTTTTGTTCGACAAGATTCTTAATCTTTTTGGCTTGGATTTTGATATAAAAATTATAAATTTCCAAACCTGTGAATCCTACCAAGAATAGGAAGATAGAAACACCCAATCCACAAGCTAATAAAAATATAACTCCCAAGTCATACCGATTACTAGTATTTAAGATTGAGGAAAGGAAAGATCCAATTGGCATTCCAAATCTGGCGATCAGAATTCCACCAACGACTGAATTCATTTTCAAATTAAAAAATGGAAGAGAGCGAAAGAAAACAAAAGACACGACCATGTTCATGACCATGTAAAGTAGTGGTCTCCCATATGGATGAATGAATACTTGAGAAATTACGAGATACAACTGGTTGGTTAAAGTTAGTATCATCACAAACCAATGCTGTTCACAAGATATAACGTTTCTCCATGAATTTCTCCAATCAAAAGAAATACTTGTCGTGACCATAACACCAAGTAATGAAAGTGGAATTTGTAAAACAATGAATAAGGATGACAACACGAGATGAGAAACGTTTTGCATTGACCAACATTTGACACTCTGGAACTGTTTCAATACATTACTTTCAAAAGTGCATGAAACAAAAGGAAGCACCCAATTCAAAAATACTAAATGAAACATTCCAAATAATCCACATGAAAGGGTAATAATCATTTTCAACTTATCCCAATGCTGTGTTTTATCTTCATGCATCATCAAAGCCACGATCACACAACACCAAGTCAAAAACAGAAATACAAACAACAAAGCAGAGATAGCCATTTGCATTTCATAGGGAAACCATAAGGATCCAAATGTTCTTGGAATGATCAGAATATTGGCCATCCACTCTCCATAGAAACCAAAACGAAAGTCTTCTTGTGTGGGTAACCACGTTGTACATCGTCATTACAATTTCCTTAATTTTTTGACAAAAAAATTTGAAATCAATCTTACCTCCATCAAGGGCTAAACTAAACGAGCAGTACAAATGATACCAAAGAGAAGCAGAACAAATCCATACAGGTATACGATGGAAGGGCCTTAATAAGGACATGAGGAACATGAATAATTTCTCTTCAGTTTCTTTCCATCTTGAATGACTAATACCCGAAGAAGCTGATTGCAAAGTGGTGGATGAAGCCACGGATGAACGTCCATCACCCCATGTATCGGTGTTGTTGGAAAACGCTACAGAAGATGTTAGATTATGATGATTATTAGACATGAGCTACGTTTGATGGTTTTTTTAAAGAGAAAATTGTAGATGTTGATGGCTAGAGATGTCTTGCTGTGTGTGGCCATATCATGACGGCCAAGGCATGAATCAAAATATAACGGAATTCCTGTATTTATGTATGTGGCGATTGTAAATGACAAATAACAACACATCATTGAAAATCAAACTTTAAAGATTCCCTGGATCGAACAACCAACATCCAAAAGTTCGGAATAGCTGATGCGAACCTTCCTATTCCTTTTAATAATCATCAATCGTCCATCCGCAATGTCCTCCATTGAAAAACATTTTTTAATGCGCTTGCAAGGTTCACCACTTCGAATCCTTTTCATTCTTTGCGTTTCCTTTCATCGCGGAACTATAATCAACAAAAAAATCTACGTCATCATTATCAATGAAATTCTCTGTCTTGTCGGATCCTGCCATTGTGCAATATGTTAGAAATATTTGTGTGAGAGAAACACAAGAGCAAACTGATTTGAGAAATGAAACGAGTGAGAAATTGGGAGAGTAGGTTGATCTCGAATTCTTGTTTACTCTTTAATGTGTATAATATTATATTTTCACACAAAGTTATTCCGTCATGATCAGTTCCCCAGAACAAATGCAATTATTACAAATTATTTTGAAATTGATCGGAGCAAAGAATATCCTTGAAATTGGATGTTTCACAGGTTACAGTGCCTTATGTTTTGCTTTGGCGACAAGTGACACCAAGGCAAAAATCACAACCTTAGATGTGAGTGAAGAATTTGTGCAAATTGGAAGAAAATATTGGAAAAAAGCACAAGTTGAGGATCGAATTGAAGCCATCATTAAGCCAGCTTTGGAATCTCTTGAAGAGTTAAAGAAATCCAAGCAAGTGTTTGATTTTGTTTTCATTGATGCCGATAAGTAAGTATTGAATTCGTCATTGGGTATATGAATGATGATGATCATGTTGTCAAATGACGACTTGTCGAACTGGGTATCTGTGAATTTTGAAATGATTTTTCATGAAATTCTTTTTCAGAGCAAATTATCCAAAATATGTTGAAATGGTGTATGGTTTAGTGAGACCAAATGGATTGGTTGTTATTGACAACACTTTATGGTCCGGAAAAGGTAAGGCATAATATGATCGAACGAGTTCAATATTGATCGTCATAATAATAATAATACGATTTGCATCCCAATTTAGTGCTTGACGAGAATGATCAAACACCAGATACCATTGCTATCAGAGAAACCAACAACAAGTGCAGAGATGATCAACGTTGGGACATTGCAATGGAAACTATTGCCGATGGATGCACTTTCCTAAGAAAGAAGTAATTCAACAATATGATTAAATGACATTTAATTTTGCAATAAATAATCGACATTATTGCAAGGCATCAATAATGGTCAGCATTTCTTTGCTAATTCAGCAACTTGACATTAATGCGAGAGGAAGTTAGGCAACAAATCATACGAAAAAACACCATAAACTGTTGGATGGCCAATAAGATTCAACTTTAATTCATGTCACAACAGATTTGATCGATATAAATTCTCACAAAGATCTTCAAGAAGTGTGATTTTCAATCGGCCTTGCATTTACAAGTTTTTGCTGCCACCCTTAAGAATTCTGTCCTTGAGTCTTGAATTTTCAATCTTTTCTCTTGAGACATTAGGGAATGTCTGATCATTGCCTCCATACTTGTGTCTGAACACAATGGTGTAATCTCCCTTTTGATTGAGATGACTATCGGCAACTTCGTAATTGTCATCTCTCACTATGTCATCAAAGTCTTCGCGAGGACCTGTTTGTCTTCCACCTGGAAGTGTCTCTGTGGTTTGGCCTCTCACTTGGAGATTTTGATCAATATCAGAACCTTTTTGCATCTTGTATTTGTTTTTGATTTACCAAGTACTCGCAAAAACTATCCTCTTTAAAACCCTCTTGATTGACAACATTTAGAGGAAATTTTCTGAATAAGGAATGAAATTTTTCCAAAAAAATACCTTAAATGAATATTTTCTAGAATCAATTTGGTACAATACCTTATGGAGGAGAATGCTTGTTAGTGTGAATTTTGTGAATAATTCATGACCCAAATGTTGCCATTAGCAGAAGTTTTCCAATGATATGAAAAACGTAAAAGAGGTTCGTGTCAGCAAGATTCAATTCGTTGTCACAGATTCCATCGTGTTAGAGTCTTTACAAATAGTTGGTGAGTTTGAAGATAATGATTTGGGAGAGACCGATAAATTTTCATCAATTAGTAACTGTGACGAAGTTTGGGTGGTGAGAATGGATTGTGCTTGCTTTCGCTTTTCAATTTCGTTAAATGCATTTTCATTTCCCCAAAACAATGGAAACCAAAGAAATAGAATGGTAATGGCAAAAACGAGAATACCAGTACAGTTGAGAATGTACCAAATGAGCCTCATGGTGTCAACATTGGTCATGGTGGAGGAAAGTCCACCGGCAATAATCTCCATCAATACACAAAATAAAAGTGCTACCAACAATCCAAATGTGATTTTGAAAGGACTCTGTACCTTTCTCTCAAAATTTCTAATGTCAAACGATGATCTTGAATCTGTGCGCTCAATAGGTTTTTGACCTGAGGATATCTTATGGATGGCACTGGTTTGCTTGATTGTTTTTAACACGACTATTCCACTCGCCAATACCATTGAAGTGTAAAATAGAAGCATAACAATAATGACAAAGCACAACGCAAATACAACAGTTGTAGTTGTGTTGCTAATAAAACCCATTCTGTTACAAGCATAAAATACAGCACCCATTATCACAATGCATGAACCAACAAATAGAAAAATTCCATTAACCACTCGCATGACTATTGAAATAGTACTGTGAACCTTTTGCGAAATTGCTCTCACCAATCGAGCTGTCTGCCAACTGTCAGTGACAATCAGTGATTGCATGATGAAAGTGTTCGATCAAAACCACAAATTACAGCTTACATACAATACTTGTTGCACAAAAAACAAAATAACGAAAAGTGACATGAGGTTAATGAATGTAAAGAAGGTCGTCACTCCAGAGACCGTATTCATTGCAGTAAAAAAACTCCATTCCACTAACTGTGATGCTTCAGCAGTCTCCCGAGCATAAATCGTTAATACATCGTTCGCTATTCTGAGAAGTTGAGTGAGAGCTTGTATCGATACAAACACAACTGTCCACGTCAGCAACACCTTGTGTGTTCGTTTCAATTGATTAGAAAGTCTTCTCAAAAACATCGCCAAACAAATCAAATAAATTACATAAGCAATGAAAAGAAGGGACTGTTCGAGATCGTTGAATAACTTAACCAAGTTGGGAAATAGTAAGACACTGACACATTGGCATATCCACCAACGTTAAGAGATGGAAATTGAGACATTTTTGTGTTGCCCTTGTGAGATTTGAATCGAACCAACCCGTGCACCGGTGTATTATTAAAGAGCGAAAGATCCTAGTTTGTAATGTTACAATTCACACAACATGGTACCAAATATGCTAAATCTAGTGTTGCTATTGCCGTTCGCAGAGGCCTCGACTGAAGACGTCGGAGGTACACGGTACGACAAGAGGCAGAAATCTTTTAGGTCACTGGATTGTATCAATTCAGTTATTTTCTTCTCAATCAAGCGCTTGGTTGTTGTGTTTTCATGAAGATTACATGGAGCAATCTGTAAAAAGTATTCAGCCTCCTTATCAAAAAAGAAACAATGTCAAAGCGTTTGAACCTGTTTCATCCACAAGCTTGATCTGGAATAAATATCGATATTCTTGAAGAATACTTGACGAGGAGGGTGTCTGTGGGATCTTGTTGGGTCTCGTAAATTCTTCAATTTGTTTTGGGTAATAATCCACAACCTTTGCTCTGGTTCTGTACTTGTAAGGTATCACTGGGTTGTGAATAATTTCCGATAGAGGTGTAATGGGTGCCTGTGAATAGTCAACCTTGGTAGTGATGGTAATAATTGGAGAGAGGTGTTCAATATAGTCTTGACCTTTCAGAGAGGCATGAGACGACACAATTGCTGTGGTCGATGGAGGAAGAGCATTGTGGTTCCTAGATTTTTCTAAGCATCGAGTAATGTAGAAATGTTTCTGTGGAAGAATGACCACAGACCCATTGAATAATCCGAGAGGGACATAGCTACCATCTGCCCACTCAGTAATTGGTGGACATTGAACATTCCTTAATTTAACCCAAACTTGTCTATTCTCGTTGAAAATATATTTCACCTCTTGTTCCAAGTAATCAATGACTTCATTCGATTTGATCGAAACCTTAGCTTTTGAAGTCAAGTCGTCAACTGTTAGTAATAATACAAGTCCTCCATCATTATTCCATTCTTCCACTCTACACACAACATCCATGAAGAACCCAACATCAACCATGGATGCTCTGTTTTTAACTCCAGCCAAATCACGTAAGTACTGTTGTTCTGAGGCAATCACTGGAATATGTTTCACCACATCAAACGACTGAGTGAAGAAATGATTAGAGAAAGTTTTGAGCTCCGTAATACGTGTAAAGTCTTCTTCTGAGAATGACTTCTTGTATAAAAGATCGTCTGGGACTGGTTGATCTAGTGTTGAGTTGATGAAAAAGTAATCAAATCCAGGCCCTGCATTTCCCTGATATCCATATTTTGTCTTTTTCACAACTAATCGATGACATCTAAATATTTGACCAACACAATGACAATTAGATACATTCTTTTCGTTGTTGTGATTAATTGTCACAAGCAGAAAGCCAACACTTGCGGTTGAGGCTGTACTGCTCTCATCAATAACTTTAAGAGTCATGGTAAATGTTCTCATGTCCGTTTTTCTTCTTGTTTTGTAATCGCAAACCACTCCATAAATGTTATAGGTTCCATCATTATGAATTTCTGAAATCTTTGTATAGACATATCCAGGCTTTTTCTTCTTAGTGACAAGCTGTTGCTTTGGTTCTACATATTCTAGATCATAGAGAACATCATCCACTTGAACCAAAGAATCCTTATCAATGATAATTCTATATGGATGACAACAGCTTATTGATTCGTCCTCAGTTTCATATTCCGAGTCGCTATCAGAGTCAATACAAGGCTCAACAGACACATTTTGCAGAGTGATTAATTTTCTCCCAAAAGTACATATATTCATCCAGTCTGAAAAGTCTACATCCGATAGCCGTGTTTTAGAAAAGGCAACTTGTATGCAGTTTGTTCCTCCGGGTGAAGAGATGCTTCCTTCTTTTTCATCATCATCGTTATTCGGGACATCTTCAAGTATGAAGGAAAATTCAAAACGTTCATTTCTTCTTCTCTTCTTCTTATCGTTTGTTGTCGTTGAAGAGGTGTAATCCCGATGATCATCATCATAAATCTTGACATTGCCTCTTAACGACTGTGGATGATCGATCCGAGAGAAAGTTCCATCAATATCTTTTACGCGCATTTTTTTTATTCTAACAAACGCTAGAAGAGTGCATTCACAAAATCATTTAATCATGATTAAGTTCAAAGTTTGAAAAGGAATAAATTAATGGTCGTAGAGGATGACAATTTGTAAGAATAAAAGATGAATTCTACATAAAAAAGGTCGAGCCATCGCCTGGTCCTAAATATCCCACACTAACGAGAATGAGATCAATCAGAGCCCATGCTCCAACACCTCCAAAAGTAAACAACTTGAATACTCCCCATCCAACATGGCCAAGATAAAACCTGTCAGCAGAAAATCCTGATAAGCTGTTGTGTGGTAAGTCAAATTCCAAAATGTGATCAAAATAATTCGTAAATAATTATTGGCAAATATTTGAGCAACTTGCTGCGAGCATGCGTGGTACTTACAACAAGGAATATACAAATGCACTTGCCCAAGTCTTTCCTGTAGTATAATTACATTTTACAATCTTTTGAAAAGTCCTATTTCCAAGACAATAAACATTCAAATTGGTCTTGCATTCCGTCACATAGGTATCTTGACCAGACTGACATCCTCTCTTTGGAGGGAAATAATTACAAGTATAATGTACATTCTCCACTAATTGCCAACAATATTTACAGAAATACTGTTTTTGAAATGAAGTCTCTCCTACGCATGGAGTTTGCGTCGTACTAATGACTGTGCAATTGGTTGTGTACACATTTCCAAGTGTACAATTTGTTGGCATTGTACAATTTAAAAAGGATGGATTTAAATTATTGCAAAATTCCTTTTCAATCATTTTCCAATCATGATTTCATGTGATTCCGATCATCGATGATGGAGAGAGAATTTGTGGTTTCGTGATTCAAGAACATTGTTCCAATCACGAATTTGTTCGGAACGGAAGGATTCACTCATGTACTTACTTTCAATCCCTCTCCTGCGAGTACTCTCTCATGTTGAAAAACATAAATGATCCACATCATCATCATCACGAAGAACGGTATGAGTAGAGAATGGCACCTTCCTGATGGAGAGCCTTTTATCGACCTCCTCCTCCTCATGATCGTATGCCTCGTATTCATCATCATTTTTTATTTGAATTTTGATCATTGATGACCTTTCATCATCAAGTCATGACATGTCTGAACACATACTAATCACAAAAGTGAATCGATCGTCATCATCATCATCACCTCTAACAACAATCACCTACTTCTTTCGTCATTGATCCAGCGCAATGACAAGTCCAACAACAAAAAATGAAGCTTTCACTCAACATGGGCGCCCTTGCGGCTTCCAAGCAATCCGAAGAAAAGACTTCCTCTCAACAACCACCAACTTCTGAAGATGAGAGTGTGAGTAGTTACAGCAGTGATCAAGAATCAGAAAGAGAAAGCACTAGGAATAGTAGTAATCGGATGGATACAAGTGCAGATGAGGCTCCAAAAATCCAACAACCTTCTCCTCTCCTTCAGAAACGTCCAAGTTTCTCTCTCAACCTGAAAGGAATCGGTAACAATGCAATTACCGATTCTTCAAATAGTATTTTACCAAAGGGGCATGAAATTGAGGATGATGATTTGAAAGAAACTACCGGATCTCGAGATCGGTCAGTAAATCCCTCGTCATCATCACTTCCTAAATTTAATTTACAAATGACATCATTACCTGTATCAGATAACGCCTCATCAGCAAATTCTTTAGCAAAAGGCGAATCTATACTACAGGTACCTGTAGATTTAATTGTTCCGAATTTATGTACAGTCAATTTAAATAGTTCTCAAAATATTGAAAGCGTTCTTTCTCAAATTGAGAGCGATCTAAACCCCATTAAGCGCGAAGATTTGGAATTATTTATTTTAAAGCCAGTAACATCTATTGAAGATATCAAAGATGCCAATTCTCTCGTTTGTAAAACGAAACAAATGACTTGTAAGTTGAGGGATGACAATAAGCTCATTCAATTATTCATACACGCTTTTTCAAATTTTATTATCATGGTTAGTCAATGTGGCAACCTTATCCTCATTGTCTAAGCAAAATCAAGAGCTCAGAGTGAAGCATGATAAAACAAGTACTGCTCTTCTCAATCTTTCTAAAGAAAATGAAGAAATGAGAGCGAGGATTGAGGAACTCGAAAAACAAAAGGAAGATGCCAGAAAACTTGTTGAACAGTTGCAAAACCAGCTGAAAACATTAACACAAAACATACAAAATTGACCTTAAATTATTTCTGAACTTTATACAAGCATTGGAAAGGATAATAAAACTCGTTAGACTCGTCTTTCCTCTTGATGAGGACAATGTTTTGTGAGTGGCCAGGAATGGATGGAAGTTGCTGACTAGAGTCAAGTGTAATAAATCCAATACCATACTTTTTTCCTCGCAAGAGAGAGTAATTGGCGGATGTGACAAATCCAATACATTTGGCTTCAATCATTGACTTGGGAATGGCATGCATTTTTGCTTGAAGTTCTCTGTCTTCCTTGCTTGGTTTTGCAAGTTTTGTTAAAGCTGCAATTTGTTTCTGGTTGGTGGGAACATAAATCATGTCATAAGGCTCCAAGCTTCCTCCCCAAACTCCAAAAAGCTGTACAGGTCTATAAGAAGATAAAGGACACTCCAATTGTTGAATTAGGATCTCTAGGTGTTCATTCTCTGCAATGATATCTCTTTGAAATGCTTGACTTGAAGGATAGTCGTTCGGAAATACTCGCTTACCTTGCTCGAGCAGCAGTCTGTCTCTGTCAAATATTGGTAGAGCCATGGTGTTTTTTTGTTCACTAAGCTTGAACCAGACATGAGCTGAAACGTCAATGGTCGGTAATACGATATCAAATCCTCCTCCCATGGTACTTCCACTGTTCAGTGACGATGGTTTTTGAATAAGCAGAATTGGGAATGACCTTGGTCCTTCTGCACTTTGCAAAGGATTGAACTTTTTGTTTGTTCGCTTAGTTCGTTTTAAATATGGAAATTGATATCTTTCTTTGCATTCTTTTTGATTCCAAATTAATGGAATATCATTCATATGGTCTGGAACGTATAACATTGACTTCTTTTGCAAACTATTGAGAGGTTTTTCATTGTCTTTGCTAGACGATTGAGAAGATGTATATGACAATGATGGAGCAAGAGCAGTTGCAATCAATTGTGACTCTTTCTTAAAATCCTCAAAAGTAGTATTAAAAGAGGAAGTATAAATTGGGTGTTTTGCCATGAAACTTATGACCATGTCAACTGGCAAGGAGGTGGTCATTTGAATGTCTGTTTTCATTCTCTCCCATTCTTTTGATATTGTTTTAACTTGACTCTCTGATTTAGTAGTTTTCAATTCGTTGATGGTGTCTTCAATATGTATCCTAATCACATTCGAAATGACTTTCATTGTTAATGGGCCTCTCACCTCAAACCTAGATAAATCGTTTCGATGATAAATAGTTCCTTTTAACTCTAATACTAGCTGTTCTAAATGTTGATATCCTTCTGGAAGTGATGAAGGATGTATCCAAATCATGATTGATTCCTCTGAAGCACCATTAAATGTCACCGTTTTTGGCCTAACTAAAAATTCCACAGTTGAAATTGTAAAATTATTCTTATCCTTCCATTCGAAAGTTCCCTCTCGTTTTCCAATGAGATAATCATTATGGAATAATAAAGGTGAATCGGTATGAATATTCATCATAGATTTTAGCAATTTTTCTACATTTCCGGCCGTGCTAAAATCAACTTGCAAACACACCATATAACTTCTCTCATGAATCGTACAATGTTTTCGAGCATATCTATATCCATTTCTAAATATTTTATCTGTGATATGTTTCACAGGAAGCCTCATTCCCCATTTGTCTTCCATTTTCATTCGCTTGGCATGAAATAAATGTGTAGACAATCGGAAGGCTTTAGTACTTTCTCCGTTCAAAGCAGGTAATTGTTTCACATTCACTACAAAATCTTTTCGTTGTTGTTTTCTTTTCATATCTTTCCTTCTCTTTCTTTGTCGAACCCGTTTGGGAAGATTCATTTCTCTAATTGCAGCATTTCGTAAATGCCTCGGAAGAAGATGAGGAACCTTTGACATGGCTCTCCTTCTCAAATGTCTTGGTAATCTCTGGAACACTCGAGCATTTGATGATGATGTTGATATTTCTCGTTGTAAAGTAAAAAGTTCTTCTTTCCGAGCCTAAATGATTACATTCCGAAAACAAAAATTATTCCATAGTAAGTTATATATTCAACATCAAGATTTAATAAAAATTTGAATCAAAAGATGATGATGACCTACACTTAAAAAGAGTGATGGATTTATAGTATGTACGGCTTCCAAAGCTTTGAATGTGGTTGCATTGTTCACCATTTTTTTTTGTGATTTTTAACAAGGTGAAGCCACACTTTCGATCGCAAGACTCACCATTCCATCCTGAAGAGGGCTCATGAAGAATTTGGAATCGAGATGTGTTGTTATTGATGAGGTCCATGACTATGACAAGTACTTCCTTCTGCAAGGTGGCCATTCGAAGGTATTTGAGAATACTGAAGTGTAACATTTGGATTCGCAATGAACGACATGGAAGAAGGTAACACATCCAAAGGGACATTTCTTTCCATAATGTCATCTGAAGGTGCTGAAGGCTCATAAGCATTTGTGACTACATGGGTTGTGCAGTTGGTTGTAGTTGTTGAGGTCAACTCTGCATTCGAAATGGTGAAATACGTTCCAATGGGAGGAGGTAATACCATGGTGGGTACTAATTCAGAAAATAAAGTCGACGATGAACTGGAGAGGGTATGAGCTCTCTGGTGGATCCTCTCTTTTCTTTTTTTCCTTAATAAGCAATGAACCAGAATCATCACGAATGCAACAAGACCACACGCTCCCATCAATAGCAAACATAAAAGACCAACCACAATGCCAATAATAGCTGACAAATTGGAGTCTGATTTCGTGTATGCATTGGTGGATGTTCCAATCGGAATGGAATTTAAGGGAAGTGATGGAACATTGGGTGGTGGTAATACTGGTTTCGAGATGACTTGAGAGGAATTGGAGATCGATGAAGAAGAGGAAGGAGATGGAGATGAAGGAGGAGGGATGACCTTCGAGGGATCATTCATACGCCACATGAAACGATAGCTTAAGGGGCATCCCATAGTAAATCCATTCACACATTGCAACCAAAGATACAACTTGTCTGTTGCTTTGGGTAAATCTCGTTTTAAAGGAGTGTTGGTGGTTTCTTGTGAGGAGGATGAGGAGGAGAAGGTTGAAAGCATGGATGGATTTGCTGAAGGAGGAGAAGGTGCTGGTGGAATCTGAGGTGTTGGCGGTGATGTTGGTGTCATTGTATTGCATGGAAGAATGGTCAGTGTTGTTGGAGTGTTTGAATTCACAGAGAGGATTTGAGGAATTCTTTCATTCACGTTCGAGATTTCTCTTCCCAAAGAGAAAAAGACGGCAACATTACGAGGAATCATCTCTTGTGGAGAAAGGTTCTGAGATTGAAGAGAGAGTTCCAGTTTTCTTTGAAAGGAGGACGAAGGAAAGGAATCACCAAGATCCACCACAATTTTCTCCACTCCCAACGGAGGTAATTGAATGGTGGTGATCGGAGTGGAATTCTTGCTTGAGTCTGTTGGACCAGCCGCTAACGTCAGGTTGCTGTTGTTCAATACTTGAGGAGGAGGAGGAAGGGAATATGGGAAATAGATTTCCTCAATACTCACATCCACAACGGAGACATGTGCCTTGGAGTGTTTCATGTTGACATAGTCTTCCGATTCTTCCGACGTTGATGAGGACCCTTCGTTACTTACTTTGCTTCCTTTCGAACAAGGGTTGCGTACAATGAAAACGTACTTTTCATTGTTGGATTTTTGGTTTTGCATGAGAAGGTAGTGTTCGAGATTGAAATCCTTCAGTGGTTGGGAAGTGATTGGAATGTAGAATCGAGATGGAGTACTGCTGCTATCTTGAGTGAAATCGAGAATTTTGTCACTTCTCAGAATGCCCATGGTCACATTGGGCCCTTCTTTGACTTGGAATTGAAGGTGGAAATGGCCGTACGTATACTCCGTTGGGTGATGCCAAAGAGAACATTCAGGAATGGTATAACTGCACAAAACTTGAGAGAGAAATTGAGAAGGTAGAATGATACTTGCAACGCATAGCAGAAGAAGAAGTGAAGAAAAAAAGAGTGAACTGTTTTGGTTTGAACAAGTGGTGTTCGTTCGAATAGAATGGCACATGTTCACCTCGGGTGAGGGGAATGAGTCTGTTTGTTGTGGTCGTCGTCGTTGTTGAGGCAAATCTTTTGTCATCTTTACCATGCAATGTCATTCTTACACGTGCGGGCGTAACTAGGATTTTTTCTTAATACATGCAATTTGTCAATTTTGGGATGTGAATTGATTTGACAAGATACCAATCGAGTAAATGTTGATCTCAGGTCAGAATTCATGTTAAAATAATAAAATTATTCAATGAGTTTACTTCTTCTTTGCACCTCCAGCAACGTTGAATTTGAAGAAAATAATGTCACCATCTTCTACTTCATAGGTTTTACCCTTTTCCTTGAGCTTACCGGCGTTCTTGCATTCAACTTCGCTTCCAAGTTCTTTGTAGTCCTCAAATTTCATAACTTCACAACAAATGAAGCCTTTTTCGAAATCAGAGTGAATTTTACCGGCGGCTTGTGGAGCCTTTGTTCCTCTCTTAATAGTCCAAGCCTTCACTTCATCCTCTCCAGCAGTGAAATAGTAAATAAGATCAAGAGTCCTATAGCCGCACTTGATAATTTCTGGAAGCTTGGAAGTCACTCCCTTCTTAATGAGCTCTTGCCTCTTCTCTTCATCAGTTTCTTGCCATTTCTTTTCGAAGGCAGCGCTGTATGGAATGACTGGTTCTGGCTCACCCTTTGAATTGACATACTCTCTAATTTTGATAATGTATTCATTCTTTTCTGGATCAACTACATCCTTTGGAGTCATGTTGACAAGATAAATCATTGGCTTGCTTGTCAACAATTGATGAGGATTCAAAAGTTCAATTTCCTTTCCATTCCAATCTCCAAATCTAACTTCTCTTCCTTCTTTCAACATTGCAAGAGCCTTGTCAATAGCATCCAATTCATCCTTCTTTTCTTTCTTTTGCTTGGCAAGCTTTTCGGTTGGACCTCTGATGTTTTCCAAGTAAGCAATATCCTTTTTGATCAATTCACTTTCAATAATCTTGATGTCTCTCACTGGATCAATACTTCCTTCGACGTGAGTAATATTCTTGGCATCAAAAGTTCTAACCATGTGGAAGATGGCATCAACGGCACGGATGTGAGACAAGAAAGCATTACCTAATCCTTCACCTGTTACAGATGGAACGAATTAACGTCATGAACACAAGAATGCAATAAAAAGTTATTATGAGTAGCGACCATCATCCATTTCCATGTAAGTGCATTCCAATAGCAATAATAATTACAGCAAATAGGAAATATTAAAACGTGTATAACACAAACAGCAAACCGCAATCAATTGATTATTAGAGTCCGTTAATATCAAACCATCATGTTAATTAATACAAACCTTCGGAAGCGTTTTTAACCAAACCAGCAATATCAGTAACGTTCAAAACAGCTGGTACGTTATTGGCTGGCTTCCAGTGATTAACTAACCAGTCAAATCTTTCATCGGGTACAGCAACACGGGATGTACTTGGATCGATGGTACAGAAAGGGAAATTTTCAGCAGGTACTTGAGAGTTGGTCAAAACGTTGAAGAAGGTTGACTTTCCTACGTTAGGAAGACCAACAATACCGATTTGCAAGTTAGTGCCGACACGACCAAAGGCAATGGTTTTGCTTTCTTTCGAGCTACTCATTTTTTTCTTCAACAAATCATTGATGATTGCAATAGAAATTGGGTGTTGAAACTCTTCCGATTGAATGTAGAAGATGGGAGTATTCAAAGGGTATTGGTTTTCAAGAATTGATATGGAAGATGGTATTTTTCATCATCATTGTGTCTTCTTGTGTTGAGTCGGAAAGAGGGACGCTTTTTTCCAAGTCAAAAATACTGGTGAAGCAAGTGAAGAAAATTTCTTTCAAAAAAAATGAACGCCAATTCAGAATCGTATCGTTTGTGGAGAATCAGAAGGACTGTGTTGCAAATGTTGGAAGATCGTGGATACATGGTCATGCCTGATGAGAAGAATGCCGATATTGCAGAATTTGAATCAAAATTCTGTAATGCTCCAACTAATGTTGGGCAATCGGGACAAGCTCGTGGTTATGCTCCGGTATCAAGAGAAAAATTAACTATTGTTACATCAATGACTGATGATCCTTCCGAAATGATTTTTGTTTTCTTCCCTCCAGAAAAAGCTATCGGTATGAAGCAAATCAAAGATATCCATATGAAAATGAAGGAAAATAACGTAAAGAGAGCTATCCTTGTGTTGAGACCTGCTGACTCATTCCAACACAAAGATCTAAGCTCACAAGCTAAAAAAGCGATTGAAGCTATTCAATCTATCGGATATATTTTGGAAACCTTCAAAGAAAACGAACTTTTGGTTAATATTACGGAACATGTACTCGTTCCAAAGCACGTTCCACTCAATAGCTCTCAAAAAGATGACTTGTTGGCAAGATACAAACTGAAGGAGACTCAATTACCTAGAATTAAGATTACAGATCCTATTGCAAGGTACTATGGTCTTCAAAGAGGACAAATTGTGAAGATTATTCGTGCCTCAGAAACTGCAGGAAGATATGTTACCTATCGTTATGTTGTTTAAATTATGCCAATTCATACATGGCCATGAACGAAATAACACACAAAATCCCTCACTCCTCTTTCTAGTTATAAGAGATAACCAATGCATGTAATCATCAACCTAAATTAATTATTTTACCAACCAATACAAACCAAAGCTTGCTTTAGAATGCTGTAGGAGCACTTCTTATTCTTTGACATTTATCGTTCATGAATGAATTCTCTCTGAAAGGTATCTCTCTTCAGAATAAAATGCAGGGAAGACTGACATCTTCATCCCTTGGCAAACCAACATCATCATCGCTAGCTGTAAAAGACCCCATTCATCAGCGACTCGGACAGAACGAACACACGCCCAACCACAGTGAATTTACGAACAACGGCCAATCACAATCTCTTACCAGAAACATCCATAATTTTCTAAGCCTCCCCGAAGAACAAGTTTCAGTCCTACCCGACAAGAGCAATTCTTTGTTGGCCATTCCATTTCGAGAGAGTAAGGCTGTTTCATCATTAACAACAACAACGAGTATTCCTCCCCAATATTCAACATCTCCAGACATAATTTCTCCCCGACAAATTCATCAACGAAATGTAAATAATAACCTTCTCAATAATAATTCACGACCTCGGAATCAACCATCGCCCAACTCAAATTTCAATAATAATTTATTTAGATCTGAAATACCGATGCCCTTTCCCTCCTTTCCGCATGTAAATAGTTACCACTCACAGATAGAATTTTCCAATTCGTCATTAACAGAGCAAATCGGAACCTCAATTCAAAGCAAAATTAAGGCTCTCTCAAGAGCCCCAGAGAAGCTAATCAGTTCAAAATTTAGAGCTTTTGCTAATTCGACTCCTAAAGACGAAAACAGACCTAGAAGACATACTTTGCATGTGGATGAGGCAAAGCGTTTACGCCCAGTCCAATTCAATGCGTCAACTGATGACATTATTCAACCATATCCAGTGCCTGTTCTGTCACCAAAAACTATTGAAGTTGTGCAGAAGTTGACAGATAAATATGCTGCAAAGTCCAAAAGGAAGAATAATCGAAGGGTGTCTACATCGTTTGTAGCTAAATTTGTTGAAATTGAGAGAAAAAAAAGACAGATGAAAGATATGAATCAGTTCAAAGAAATGCAATTTGACTTGGACCCTAATACAAAGAAAGAAAAAGAATATGCCATCGTTAAGAAAATGTCAAGAGAGCTTGAGGAAAGACTTGAATCGGTGTCACATAAGCTCACCTTTTTGGAAAAGCAGTCTCAACGCGATAAGGAGCTCATTCAATTTTATAGAAATAGAGAACGTCATTTAGCAGGAAAGCCTTCAAAAGCATTATCAAACTTCTTACTATCGTCGTCCAGCAATAACTCCATCAATAACATACATCTAGCGGTGAATAATTTATTCGAACATCCAGTAGCTGACCCTTTTGACCTTACTAGAATGGTTCCTCCAAAAGGTGTCAGTTTTCAAAGCATTGTTTACTATTGGAAGGTATTTTGTAAAATAAGTTATGTTTGCAAGTTCATATTAAATCGAGAACATTAAACGATAAGTACTTGTGTTAGTCCACATAATCATCATCATCTTCATCATCGCTCTCCTTCTTGTTGGATTTTTTGTTCGACTTTGATTTCTTAGATTTCGATGAACGAGAGCCACTTTCAGACTTTGATGTAGCAGTTCCAGTAGAGGGTTGTTCGCGCTCCTTAATTTGTTCTCTTAATTTCTCTGCCATTTCTGTTATTGCTTTCAAAGAGGTTTCTTCTTTAAGAATAGGAGCATGCTGTTCTATTTGCGCAGACACAGAAGGTCTAAATGACGATGTCTCCATTGAATTGGTTGTTACGGAACCAGCACCAGACTTTTTATCACTCGTTGATTCGTCATTGTCACTATCAGATTCGTTTTTCAATGATGCTTCTGTTGCTGTTTTAATTTTCTTGATTATATTTTTCACATTTTCTGCATTGATTTTGAGAATTTGTTCAAATTGCTCCGTTGGATCGTAGAATAATAATTCTTCATATTGCTCTGAAACAAATGGCTTTCTTTTTTTGATTGCATTATCTGATGGAAGTTTTAAATCATATTGTAAATGGATAGGGTCAAGACCACTCGAGGCATGAAAATGGATGTCGATTAAAAGTGGAAATTGTCCCCAACCTTCTTGTTCAATTTCAAATGGAGGTTTTGTAACAGTAACTACTGGTGGGTTAAATGTTTCATGAAGATGAAACACAACCTTCGAAATGTAATTTAAATCGTCATCCAAGATTAGACCTCGCACGTAGCAGACCCATTTACACCATAAACGTTCTGTATCTTTCTTTTTAAGTCCAATTGCGTAATTTCCTAAAATTATGGGCTTTGTGATGAGGATTGGATGTTTTCTTTTTGATCCGGATGTTTGATCCGATGAAGAGGACTTTCGTTTATGCGATTTCTTGGTGGGTGTTTTCTTTTTTGAAGGCATTTTTTTCAATCTTTTCATATTTCATCTCAGCTAAAACGGTCATCCTAGTGATGAAGCACATCTATTTATTTGAAATAAATAATTTTACAATTGTTTCCATCCAGTAACTTTCTTTCCTTGTTGACCCATTTCCTTTAGCAATGTAAAATGGCCAACAACTGCATCCCAGAATGATGGGTAAGCGTTGTATCTAATACCATACTTCTTGGCCGCTCTTTCAACAATAGGTTGAATCCTTGGGTAATGAACGTGGCAAATAGTTGGGAACAAGTGATGTTCAGTCTGATGGCATAAACCACCGCTAAGGTGATTCCATAACCAGGATCTAGGAGCAAAATTGCTTGAGCCTGTGACTTGGGTTTCAGCCCAATCAGCGTGAACCATACCATCCTTTTCAACATGGTAAGTATCAGCAATAGGAGTCACATGGTTCACTTGGAAATTCAAAACCAAAATGAATGAGGCAACCATGTAGGCAATGGTCCACAAAAGAAGAACACGTTGGAAAGAATGTCCAGAGAAGAGAAGAGGAATGGCCAATGAGTAAGTAAGCCAACAAATCTTGGAGCTAACGAATAAAAGATATTCGTTCTTTGGAGCTGGTTGGAATTTAACTCCACCCCAAGATCCCAAAACCATGGCGAAAAAAGTCACGGAAAGCCAATTCAAAAAGCAAGGTACAATAGAGGAGTGGTAAGTAAATATGTTGATACTTGTACCACCAGTGATGCTTTTGACCAGCCTTAATCTTTCTAAAGTGTGGCTCATTGGTATGAATATCGGGATCACGTTCTTCAACATTTGTATGAACATGGTGACCAACTGAGTGAATCATTTTCCAAGTGTATGAAGATCCTCCCAAAACGTCAAAACACAATCCTACCATTCTGTTAATGGTTGGATTATCGCTGTAACCTCCGTGATTAGCATCATGCATCATACCCATACCAATGTTGGCATTAGCCCAACCCCAAACAATAGCAACAAAGAATGACACAATGATCGAGTCAAAATAATAAAAGGTTGCCAAGTACAGGACAAACCAAATGGACAGAGAGAGGATGGTCTTGACATACATTTCTGGCACATCACGTGGTGTTAAATTATTTTCTTTAAAGTATTTCTCAACTTCACTTCGGACTTCATCATAAAACTTGGTTTGCTTGTCTGGAGCATATATATGTTTGGTTTGTTGCTTTTTAATCATTTCCTCTGTTACTACTTGTTCCTGTTCAACCTCACCAATGTAATACTTATCGAGCAAGGCTTGATTGGTAATGGTTTTGGTTGGATGGTGGCTGAGGAAGAGTTCAGTGGATTGTCTTCCGGCTGCCAACAAAATCATATCACCACCAGGATGATTAGGAACGAACTTGGTTACATCATAGACTTTGCCATGAATGACCAACCAAGCACTACCTTCATGATTGTGTTTTTCAATCTCATCCCAAGTGAAGGTCTTGCCCTTCTTGGTTGCCAGGTCAGATGAACTCATTACTGTGTTGGTTTCAGCATGGTATTTGGTTGGATCCAGTGATGCAGACCATGGTTGTACATTCATGATCGTGGAATGTTATGAGTGGATGGATAACGGATTTAATGAAAAACCGCAGCGTGTTTGCGAAAAGAAACAATTCACATTGATGATGATATTTTCATGAGAATATGATGAGAGGGAGGAACATACGGGAAGCCAACAGAAAATGATGACAACAATTAGTTCAACACGGAACACAAAGGAGGATCATGAGAACGTTCATTATCAACGTTTATGTTGTTGGACAATAATCAATAATGAACGGACATTAGTGTCAAGATTCAAGCTTGAACGGAAAGCGAAAAATGTCCAATACCTACGGAGAGAAAGAGTGTGTTTGCTGTTTTTTCAGGTTCGAAATTATGATGGAGCGTGAGAGCGTTCCAACGAATATTTTGCCCCATAGTCTGACTCAAGGAGAATATTCTTGCCGCCTTGAAAATTTAGGTTCGGAAACCTACCGTACTCACACACACGGCCGAATGTCCAAATTGAGGTTAGTGAAGAGTTGCCAAGTGCGTTTCAAGTAGAGCATGGTTGAATGTGTGTTGGTTGCTACAGAGTGCATTTCAAGTCGAGCATTGATACGAATGAAAGCATAACACCACTCATGTCCTTTAATGATGAATGAATTTGATTAATTGTATCTCATAAATGGATTCGAAACAAATAGGTTCAAACTTCTCTAACAAAAAATGCTTTCGTCGACAAAACAACAAGGTTCAGCATCATTACGAGAAGAAAATAACGAGGACGAACATTTGAAAGTTTATTTGAACGTTTATGATTTACAAAAGAGTACCAACGTGATCCAGCATTCTCTCGGATTGGGTTCCTATCACAGCGGAGTGCAGATCAGAAATACCGAATACACTTTTTCAGCTGACTCTGGTGTATTCAGCCACAAACCAAGGGACATTCCGGCTACATTTTTAGAGTCAATTTATATGGGAAAAACAGATGTGGAATCTCTGACAGAATTGAATGAAATCATCAATGAATTGAAGAAAGAATTTAAACCTTCGGAATACCATCCGTTGAGGAAAAACTGTAATCATTTTTCGAATGCGCTGTGCCAAAGATTATTGGACGGGAAAACAATTCCTGGATGGGTAAACAGATCTGCTGGTATTGGTTCATTCTTCTCTCGTTTCTTGCCTAAGTCTACCGAGAAAAATTTAATTGAAAGCACGGAAGCAAAGCAGATCATGGATTCTGTAAAAATGGAAAAATATGAAAATGAAAACATTTACACAAGCTTGAATAATGTTGTAAATATGAGTGCTATTGAATGTTTAAATCAAAAGAAACCTAACATTGTACAAAACATCTTCGACCCTAACGATAAGAAATATTTAGAGAGTGATACTGATGAACAACTAATCATTAGAATTCCATTCAAAACTCCTGTAAATATAACAGCAATTATTTTAAAGGCCGATAACAAGCTCAAATGTCCGAGAGAGATCTTACTATTTTCCAAGACTGGCTTGATTGTAGATTTTGATAATGCTGAAAGTGTTGATCCAACTCAGATTATTGAAATTGATCCTGATGCTGCACTCAAAGGTGTTGCAATTCCTCTAAAAATTGTGAAATTCAAGAATGTAAACATGTTGCAACTATTCGTGAGCAATAATTATGGAGACACTTCAACCATAATTAATCATTTGAATATTATTGGGAAGCCAGTGGCCACAGTGGACTTGAATAAGCTACAACAAAACACACCTGGCTGCACTTCTTGTAGTTCTGGAGGTGGATGTTGTAATTAATAATGTGATACATTAACAATGTAATATAATTGAGAAATAACACAAATAATTTTTGTTCATAATTTCGATTCAAAAAAATGGGAAATAGTGTTCCAACAAATATTCCCAGCGAAAATATCGTCGGATATCAAGTCATATCTGTTGCTCCTCATTCTCCTGCCGAAAAGGCTGGATTGTGTCCATATTTCGATTTCATTCTCTCCATGGATGATATTGATCTTTCCATCGAAGATCGGCAGTTTTTTCTCACCTACGTATGTAATTATTGATCGGATGTGTTGTGGTTAATTAGTATTATTATTGGAACTTATTGCCAACAACTCCGATGCCATCATGTAACAGATTTCTAGAAGTTTAAATCAACCTTTGAAAATGACTGTGTTCAGTTTAAAAACTATGAAGCAACGTCTTGTAACAGTAGTTCCAAGACATGATTGGAATGTTACAAATTTTAATGATGGTGAACAAAACAACAATGAAATATCACCTCACTCGGAAGCGAAAAAGGATGGTTCTGGATCACAAATACAAAATAATACTAGTAATAGTAGTAGCAATAATATTACAAATAAGAGTAGTATGTGCTTAGGTTGCTCGATTAGATATGAATCTGTGAAGAATGCACTGAATTGTGTGTGGCACGTCATCGGAGTGCAACCAAATTCACCAGCAGAGAGAGCTTCTATTCATGGAGATGGGTCTGACTACATTGTTGGTTTTGATAACCGATTATTTTCGGAACCTAATGAGCTCACTGAGCTTTTGAGCTATTATCAAGGATCAGTATCCTCTCCATCAATTTATTTATCGCTTTATGTTTATAATTGGAGATTGGATTCGTTTAGACATGTGGTTGTAAATATGAGTGAAAAAGGACATTTGGGAATTGAGTTAGGAACTGGGTATCTTCATATTATTCCACCACCCTTGTCAACGAGTACAGTCACATCCTTTCAACATTTTCCAATTGAATCAAAACAACAGGATAGCTCAACATTACCGCTCTCGACAACAACAACTGAAAGTATTCCCTCTTCATCTAATGAGCCAAACTTTGTTCTCAGGGAAGAAGAAGATTATGTTGTGGTTCAGCAACATCCTTCTACTGATTCCTCTTTACAAACGTTATCCAATCCATTACCAGTTCAACAACACTCCATCACCGAAGCAACAACAAATAACTCCAATGTAGTTCCCATCGTTCATGCCACTTCAACAACAATAACGGAACAGAACAACTCAAGCCCGATACTCTATCAATCCTCAACCACCACCTCCTCTCTTCCAAAACACTCCTCAACAACAACGAGCAGCAATCTCACAGCATTTTCTCTTCCTTCCTCCACAACTCACCAAGCTCAACCACAACAACTTTATTCAATTTCGGAAGAAAAGAACTCAGCTACGAGGAGAGTCGAAACTTTGGATATTAACATTTCCTCTTACAACCCTTTTGCTCCTGTTCATAATGGCACTGCCAATGAAGAATTATCTCTAGGAGATATTATTGGAGAGCAAGAAGAATAAAACAAGGACACTACCAATTCGATGCATGTTATCCTTCTATTCATCTACACGAACTCATTCAAGTAAATTTCGTCATGGCATGAAACAGTGCACCCACACTTGTGCTTCTCATCGAGGATAACACCAAGCTCTTACAACAAGCCTTCGCACACTCAACCAAAACTTGCGCAAAAAAATATCACCCATTCTTCTGCTGCACTTCTTTTTGTCATACCTGTTATTCTGCATCCGAAGAAGAACAGCCTCCTTCTTTCTCATCAGCTCTCTCTTTGAAACAACAGCCTTCATTAGAGAGAAATATAAATTAGTACATTACTTTTGCATCTGATTCAACACCATCCACCACGAGTAGCAACAACAACATCATACACCGTCATCATGAGTCAACAAAGTGAATTACCTTCCTCCGTTACTGAAACTACTGTTGGGCAAGCAACAGAAAAGAAACAACTCTCAAGAGAAGAGCTCAAAGAAGCAATTTGTAAACAAGTTGAGTACTACTTCTCTCGACAAAATCTTTCCACCGACCATTACTTGGTATCCCAAATGAACCATGACCTTTTTGTTCCGGTCTCAGTCATTGCAAACTTCAAAATGATTAAAACACTCACTGATGACTACGATTTAATTTGCGAGTCCGTAAAGAGCTCGAATCAAGTCATTGTGGATGAAGTAAATAAGAAACTCAAACCAAACATTGTTTTAAAGAGAAACACCGTTATCATACGAGACATTCCTCAAACAGTACCACAAGAACAAATCCTTAAACTATTCTCACCAGATAATCAACCACTTACCATTCATAGTGATATTGGAAACACTTGGTTTACATCATTTGAGACTGAAGAAAAAACAATTGAAGCTATTGAGCATTTAAAGATCCAAAATTGGGAAGGAAAACCAATACAGGCTAGAATTAAAACTGAAAGTTTACTAAAAACTGTGGGTACAGCTCCAGTTCAACAAGGAGCGTCATCACATCAAGCACAGTATCAACAAAACAACTACAACAAAGGAGGAAACAGAAAGTTCAATAATAGAGCTCAAAACCAACAGAACAGCGCTGGTCAAAATGTTCAACAAACAAAACCAGGTACCCAAGGAACAAACAGACCACAATCCTCAGTCAACAATTCTCCACCACAACCACAAAATAACCAATCATCAAATAACAGAAATAATAGTAGAGGAGGCAATCAACAACCAAACCGAGGTAGAAGTAATAGCGGAAGCAATAGACCACCTGTCAATGGAAATACTAAGCAACCAAGAGGGCCACGTAAGGATGCATTGAATTTGAATAGCGTCAAGAGCTTCCCACCTCTTCCAAAGTTGAATGAATCAACAGAACAAGTTGGGTATGGAAACCAAAAATTCTTACGTTACAGTAAGCAAACTGTGTTGAAAGTATTTATGGAACAACAAGAAAAGGGTGAACATAGTACAAAACCTGAAATGTTACTTGGAAACGAATGTATAGCAATTTTGAACGAACCTAAGAAGGATTTGGAGCTGCACAAACCTCAAATGGATAAGAGTCAACTTGCAAATGAAATTATTCCTCCTGAAAATGAACCAAAGGATTCCACCGCTCCCATCACTACATCCCTTAAACCAACCAATTTGATGATTCCAAGATCTTCATTTGCTGAAGCAGCAATAACAGCAAAAGATATCAAGACACCAGATACCCCTAGCACATCTCATTTCTTTGCAAAGCCCCGAAAAAGAAGAGGAAGCAATGCAGCTGGACATAACAACCACAACGTCACAACAAAGCCTCATCACACCAAGTCAACGCATAAGCCTTCTGAAAGTAACAAACAGGTACCAACCAAGACTCAAGAATTTACCTCATCAGCAACTACCACCAATGCTTCAGCAACTATTGGCGAGCAACCTTCATGGGTTTCTGTTGTGAGTTCAACCAAAAAATAGATCTCATTAACCCATGATCTTGAGTTGAGGTGTTTTTGAAATTTACTCTTTTGTTTTATATTTATGATCATGTACGAAAGAGTGAGTGTTTCTTTTCATCCAGCTCAAATAAAAGGCTACTTTAAGGAGCTATATATTGCAATTTTCTTTTCAAATGGAACTTGAGAATGAAATTATTATGTGTAACTTATTGAAATTGTAGTTTAACAGCTTTCAAATTTAAAGATGACACATGAATATTAGTATCAACAGTCATCGATCACAACTAGTAAGTCTGTTAATTGTCTATTTTTCAATTTCGAAAGAAGATCCTTTTTGAGTTTGCTCTCTCGTTCTATCAAATGCTCCATTAGTAAAAATTTACAGAAATATTTCACAATATCATGTGAAAACAAATTTCCATGACTAAACCCATACCAAGGAGTAAACATTACTCTATGTTCTTTGTGAATTAATAAACAAAACCTATCATCTTCACTCTTACAAACGATATGCCACACGGAAGGATCATCATTCAGTCTCTCTTGATCTAAACCAAAAAGGTAATTATCAAGAGAGATTAATTTTTGTGGATTCTCTGCAACAGATGTTAAAATATCGTGGTGTTTTGTTTGAAATTTAGACAGGACTTCACTTCTTGAACTGAGCTCATTGAACACTGTCAAATCAAAAATTACTTTTCCTGATAACTCATAATCTCTATAATGATGTTCGATCACATATCCCAATTCAAAGGGAACATATCCTCTCAAGAATAATATTGCTATTCGTTTTTCAGAAATTAATTGTTGCAAACGGAGAATAAACTTTTCATTATTACCCAAAGTTGAATACAATGGAAACACAATCAAATCATAATACAACAAAATATCAGATTCTACGTGAGGCAATTGTCTTGTGTCAAGAACATCCACACAATTCAAGAAATTTTCAATCTTGTCATCATCGGAATAGGGCTCAAAGACTTCCTTGCTCGTCCCAGTAGTCCAAGGGAATATTGTGGGATTGGACACAAATCCGTTCAATTTTTCACAAATACATTTGAAAAAGTGATGTGGTTCCTCACCATGAATGACTAAACATTGTTTCAACCGTGCCGAATACGCAAGATGAGGATCGCTGCATTGTGAGAGTCTTTGGATTGCAGGGTTCTGCTGTTCAAAAGAAGAACTGCTCATATTTTTTTTGCTTGCCTCGACCAAGTTCCATGTTCAGCTATCGAGTTAGAAGGGAAAGTTTATTCAAATAAATTGAAGAAAACCTGACCAAAATATCAATACTCGACTTTTCTTCTTCTATTGTAGGGAAATGCTTTGTGTGATGCAGCTATTTCCGTCAAGATATCCACTGTGGAAGCCATTCCTACCCAATTCGATTGTTCATCTTCCACCAATACATAATGAATGTTTTTAGAACTCATTGTTTCAGCGACTTGCTCTTCTTCAAGGTAATCCTTAGCAAACGTTAAATCTCTGGACATGACTGATTCTGCTGGAAGCTCAACGTTACAATCGGATTTTAGACATTCTCGAACGAGATCTGTTTTTGTGAGAATTCCAACTGGATGATTGTTATCTGAAGGATCCACCTATCATGGATGTGTTCGATGAGTGAATGTGTGATTAGTAATAGATTTGAAAGTAAACATGTTGATTTCATTGAAGAGTTGTTCCTTTCAAATCGAATTGAAGAAAACACTCACCAATACGACCGATCCAATATTTTCTCTGACCATTAAACTTGCAACTTCTTTTAGTCGTTGATTGGAAGGGGCCTTTCATTGAATCATTTCGATGGTAAACAACAAGAGATAAATGATTTGTTCAACTCACCTTTACAACTTTTTCAGTTGGAACCATAAAGTGTTTTAATTTCATGTTGTGTGAGTAAAATCTTGAATGTTCTTTAATTTTTGAAAATTAACAATAATTTGAATAGAAGAGTGTGGTGTGTGGTGTGACCAACGCTTGTGTTTGTAATCTTTGGATGCATGTTTGGAAATCATCCAAATAATTACTTGTCCATTTTCCATAAATTGCAATACTTCCTTTCAAGTCATATCCAATGAAACCATGTCCTGAATGTTATTTTCTCTTCATACAGTTTATACACACCTTGCTGTTAGCGTTGTTTGCAAGAAACGAGCTTTCGAGAATATTGTCAACTGTCTGGAATACTATAATCCTCCTTGAAATCAGAGTTGAAAATATTGAGATCAGGAAATTTCATATAACTTCATTCAAACGATCACCTCCAGGAACAATACAGCAACTGTTGACCCGTTCATCACATCTATCGATCTGATCGTGTCTGTCATGATGAAAGTTCTTTTCCAATTTTATATAACACCTCGATGATGATCTCCTCATCATGAAAAAAATTGCGAAACATTCGTTGTCCATCATCTTTTATTAAGCATAGATTGAAATGTTGAGGAAATTACTCGTACAGTTTTGGAATTCACCGGTGGGTAAGTTGAGAGGGTTTCTTCAATGATATTCATCTCCGAATCATTAAGGGCCAAAAACCACACACTTTTGGGGACCTTTTGGTAAGTGTTAGTTCTCTTCCCTAATCATTGTTCAACCACATGATCCCGATGATATACATTCCTTATTGAAAAGCCAACTGGGGTATTGTTATTGCCGCAATCATGGATTATGATAGACCCCCAGAAAAAGTCTCAGGTCCAATGACCTTTGCTCTGTGTTGCTACAGCGGAATTTTCATGAGATTCGCTTGGGTGGTTAAACCAAGGAATTTACTCATGTTGTCCATGCATGTTGTCAATGAAATCATTCAATTATATCACCTTACTCGAAAAATTAGTTACGAAATGAACAAGAAGAATCAAGTACCTAAAGCGGAGGCATCTTCCGATGAAAAGTAATGATGATGAGAATCAATCATTGATGTTTACTGGTGAAGGGAGTTGTACCTAGGAAAAAGAATAAAGAATCCTACGCATTGCAAGATGTCAAATTGGCTCCGTTCTCCTTATGATCTAGGCAAAGATTATTTACTTTTACTCATCAAGAGTCATGCTATTGTCACTGTTAATGAAATCATGCTCTCTGTTATGGATGAAATATTCATAAACCTGTTCGGTATTGCTTCTTCTTTTCATCCACTCTAAATAGATTGTGTTGGATTGAGGTGGTGATGAAGTATTACCAACACTTTTCATTGAGTAAGGCTCGTTTTTCTTTTTCTTAGTTATTTGAAATTCATTCGTTGCATCTTGGTTGTTGTTGTCGTATTTACGTTTTTTGAAGTCCGAGTCAAGGTTTTCAAATCGGAGAGAACACCAATCCTGTTGCTGGGTGTGCTTCCGTTCATGCATGTAAATCCCACATTGTGTCATGTTGTCTGCATACGTGCTCGTATCTAGTGTTTGTTTATTTAAACTATTGTCCAAAAGTTTCAAGTCGAATACATCGTTAGGAATGACCGAGTGTTGTATTGAGACTTGGCTGTACATGAATGTCGATGTTTGCATTTCAAGCATTTTTTTGATATTTATTAAGACTGACAGATGTCATCAAGTCCATAAAAAGTCGTCGAAAGTCAACACTCAAAAAGAAAATGAAATGATCAACATTCATTTATTAGTAGAATAATTATTCTCCTAGGGAATCAGTTTGAATTGAAAATCTGCATTTTCGTCGTTCTAAAATTGAAGACTTGGTCCTTTTCTTCTCTATCTTTTTCCTTGTCGGAGGATTTCTTCCTGAAAGCTCTTGAAGAAGTTTGTTTAGATCATTCGAAGCTTGCTGAAGCTGACAAGTTCGATGATTGGAGTTATCAATGTGTTGTTTGAGTGATGGCGAAGAAGATATGGAGTTAATCACTAAAGAATCGATTAATGAAATCATGTCCTTATTCCTGTACACAAAAAGAGGACAATTGAGGGATGAAGGGAAGGAATCACGGTTAAGGATAGAATTCACATAGTCTTTGCTTGGAAAGCTTTGAAGAAGAGTGGCCTCCAAAGAATCTGCAGATGGACCTATGGTTATAGATTGAAAATTGAGTGGTTCCAAGAAGGACTCCAAGCATTCGGAGATTTTAGAGGGTGAATCCAAGTAAATGACACCATTGTTGATGAAGGAACGAGAAGAGGTTGTTACAATGGGGGATGCACTCGAAGGAATGGAGAGTTCATCATCACCATCGTTGGGAGAGCCACCTTGGATCATCTCTTGAGAGATGGACTTGAAGACGTTTTGAGCATGCATGGTGGGGGAAGGAAGCTCTGAGTTGGTGAAGGATCGAAGGAATGGAGGTATACTTGCACCACAATTCGAGAAGAAGGTTTCTTGGAGGTTTTGAAAAAGACCTCAAGTTGGAGAGGATGCAACGAGGTGAAGATGCAGGTGCTCTGAAGCAGTCTTCGGATAGTCTCGTGAGCAAGTAATAGATCTATTGCTTGCTTTCAAAACGACTCTTTTTTGTGTTGTTGTTGTTGTTCTTCAGTTTGAAGAATGGCACGACTGCATCTTTATGGGATCATGTTTTTGGACAAATGCATGAAGAGGACAATACGGACTCTTCCGAAATTATCCAACCATACTCCACAAACGCAATGTCTTCTTCAGGATTTTTCTCTGAGATCATATCCTCGTGTGTTGTGCTTGCAATAATTTTACATTTGGTTGCCCCGAATGTGTTGAAATCGAAAATTTGGAAATTGGGAAGTGCCTTTAAAAGGCTTCTGCAACGGTTTCGGTATCAAGATATTTTAAGACCTTCGATTGCATCCACAAAATTATCTGTCTTGAATTGCCATTTCGCCTTTAATGTGTTCTTGTTCTTTTTGTGCTCTTCAAGATTTAGGGATTTGCGATTGCTGAAGGTAAACCAAACAAAGGTCACTCGCAAATTTTTGCAGAATTTATTGATAAGGATTCAGAATTTATTTATGTACAATGGACACCACTAATACACCCAGTATTTAAATGGATGTCATGAGAGTGCTGATAAGGTAGAGAGAGAGTTCGGATCCGAACTAGTTGAAAGCAAGAGGGAGGCCTAGTGTGTTGCTGTGTTGGGGGTGAGAGAAGGGTTGTTGTTGTTGTTGGCAGGATGGGCAGAGATGGGTCTTTGGAAAAGATTGGAAAGGAGCTGCTGTCGTTGCGACAATTTAAAAATCATCATCCAATCTAAAGACCTTCTCTCTCTTTGGTGACATAATGTTTGCCTTTGCATATTCACCAACTCTCTTCTCAAAGAAGTTCGTCTTACCAGACACTGAAATCATATTCATCCAATCGAATGGATTTTGGACAAGGTAAACCTTATCATATCCTATCGAGACAAGTAATCGATCAGCAACAAATTCAATGTATTGTTGCATGAGACGAGAATTCATACCAATCAAGTCCACAGGGAGAGATTCTCGAATGAATTCCTTCTCAATCTCAACAGCTTCACTGACCAATGAATGTACAACCTTTTGAGGCAATTTGGTATATTTGAGCATGGAATACAAGAGACAAGCAAAGTCCGTGTGTAATCCTTCATCTCGAGAAATCAATTCATTGGAGAAGGTCAATCCAGGCATCAAACCTCTCTTCTTCATCCAAAAGATGGAACAGAAAGATCCACTAAAGAAGATACCTTCCACACAAGCAAAGGCAATCAATCGTTCAGCAAACAAGTTATCCGAGTTGATCCATTTCAAAGCCCAACGAGCCTTCTTTTGAACGGATGGAACAGTATCAATGGCATTGAAGAGACGATGTCTTTCTCTCGTGTCCTTAATGTAGGTTTCAATTAGAGTTGAATACATCTCTGCATGAATATTCTCAATGGCAATTTGGAATCCATAGAAACATCTGGCTTCAGGAATTTGAACTTCAGCCATAAATTGTTGACACAAGTTCTCATTCACAATACCATCGGAGGCAGCAAAGAAGGCCAAAACAGTCTTGATGAAGTGTTGTTCATTGGTATTGAGAGTTTCCCATTGAGCAATATCTGTGTGGAGATCCACTTCTTCAGCAGTCCAGAAAGATGCCATGGCCTTCTTGTACATCTCCCAAACCTTTTGATGTTCGATTGGGAAGAGAACGAAACGATGTGGATTTTCCTTGAGGACAGGTTCTTCCTTTTGGAGTTGCTTGTAGTGAGCAAAGAGTTCAGGTTCGAGGTGGTTCATGGTGTTGTGAGACTCGGAGCAGGAGCAGCAGCAATGCCGTCGTAGTGATGATGTGTTCGCTTTTTTTTTCAGCTTGTTTTCCTCGAGCATTCTCTCGAACTGGTTAAATTGAAAAACGGTTTTGTAAAGTGGTACCCAAAAATGTGACCGTTATGAACGTTACATTAAATTTAATTTTTCATTTTAATTCGATTTTATTTTTTCGATTCCATCTCACAGCACCATGTGGTCCATGTTTGTGCGGGCTGCTCGGGGATCCTGTTGGTTCTTTGAGCATGCTCTCATGAGTTCGATTTCGAAAACAATATTGTTGGCGTCTCGTTCAGCCTTTCAGGTCTTTCATGGGACCATGTCCATCAACATGAAAACATTCCTTCACATGCTTTGATTATTATCTCGAATGAAAATCAGAGAGATGATAACGGTTCAATTCATCATCATCATAGAGGCAAACGTCATTCAAAAGTGGAATCATCAATTATAACCAAACTCACACACATGATGATTCCACATTGAATTTTCAAGCAGTAAGTAGCATCGGACTCAATCAGATTGCCATCGTCCTTCACGACACTCGTTATTTAGACCTCTACTGTGTTGCATCTCCTTCATCGTTATTACTCCTCCGTTGCATAAACACCACCCACTAAAACAAAAAAAGCCTTTTCTCTCTTCATCATCAGAATCATGTTAGGCGGACACCAATTTATTGATACCAGTGCCTTGTTCATGGTAAATTACACTTCGGACAAGGTCCATATCACCAAAACACCACAAGAGATGGCAGAGGCTGTTTCCGATCTAATCATTCAAATCATCAAGGAGAATGACCAAGCAAAAAAGCCTACCGTGTTGTGTTTGCCAACAGGCTCGACTCCAATTCTCACTTACAAGGCTCTTGTTGAAAAACATAGGAAGGGTCTTGTTTCTTTTGAAAATGTTGTTACTTTCAATTTGGATGAATACTATCCAATGGAACCAACTCATAAACAATCCTATCACTACTTTATGAATGAAAATTTATTTAATCATATTGATATCAAGAGAGAAAATATTCATATTCCAGATGGAACTTTGAGTGAGGATCAAGTAAAGGAATTTTGTATGAATTATGAGAAAAAGATTAGAGAATATGGTGGTTTTGATTTGGCATTGTTGGTAGGTTGTTGTTTGTTTGATGATTTAAATTTGCATCTATGAATTGTGTGTTTCGGACCTTTGATGACCACCACCGCTACTACTACCACTACTGACATACCTTCTTTGTGTCGCAATGTGTTGTGCTGTGCCACTCATTTTACGTGCTCACACGCACGGCCCTTTCACTTTTCACACACCTTGCAATCCTATTATTAGGGTATTGGACGAACAGGTCACATTGGCTTTAATGAACCTGGAAGGTAGGTTTTTCTTTCGCAATTCTCTTCAAAAATTCACTCATTCCTGTTCGATAGTCATCTTTCCGATCAAACCCGATTAGTTTTATTGGATCAAAAGACCAGATTAGATGCAGCTCAATCATTCAAAGGAATCTCAAATGTTCCAACAAAAGCCATCACACAAGGTATCAACACTATTCTCAATTCGAAAGAAATTATTCTCATGGCTACTGGTGAATCAAAGGCTGCCATTGTCAAGAAGGCAATGGAATTCAAATATGAAGACCCATCCGACTGTCCAGCCACATTCCTTCGAGTTCATCCAAATTGTCATTACTATTTTGATATTGCTGCTGGTAATTTGTTGAAGATTGTTAAAACTCCATGGCTTATTGATAGAAATTTCAAAGATTGGACATTTGAATGGAAAAAGAAGGCAGTCATTGATTTGGCAAAGAAAACAGGAAAGGGAATTTGTGAGCTGGGATCTGAAGACTTTGCGCAAAATGGTTTAACAAGTTTGTTGGCTCATGAACAATTCCATACTGACAAGTTGTGTTTCAGTGTTTTTCAAGATTTGATGAAGAGAATTGCATTTGCTTCTGAGGAGTCTAAAATTGTTCCAGACAACATTAATGAGCCAGTTTTGATTTTCTCTCCTCACCCTGATGATGATGTGATTAGTATGGGAGCCATGATGCATTGTATCATTTCCAAGAGAAAAGAAAAAATTGAGTCCTGAAGAGCGTGACACTAAAGACATTAATGTGAAAGTTTGTTACATGACCAATGGATCTGTGAGTGTTCATGAAAACAATGTCAAGAACCATTTAAGATTTAGTGCTCTCACTGGTGAAGTTTTGGGTAAGGAAGTCATTCACAAGGAAGACGTTTCTAAAATTTTGGAAAAGCAAGACAAGAACGATCCAGATAGTGAATTACTTCAAAAGTTGAAGGCAAATATTAGAAAAGCCGAGGCCATGGATGCTGTTGATGTTCTTGGATTACAAGGAGAAAGAGATTGCATTTTCCTTGATTTACCATTCTATAGAACTGGTAAAGTACAAAAGAAACCTCTTGGCCAGGAAGATATTGATATGATTAAGGATTTAATTAACCAACAAAAACCAAAGCATGTCTTTATTGCTGCTGATCTTTCAGATCCAAATGGTAGGTTTAATTGATCATTGTGTGATAGTGTCAAAATTTATTTCTTTATGTTAGGTACTCACCGTGTTGTGTACAGAGCGATCAAGTTTGCTTTAGAACAAATGGGAGACCAAGTCCAAGATGTTACTTGTTGGTTGTACAGAGGAGCATGGCAAGAATGGTATGTTACTGTTCATGATGTATTTCTTATCATTTTTGAATTTTCTTCTTGACATGTGTACTTGTGTACTGATACTGATTGACAATGAATAGGGATGTTGACGAAGCTACCTATTTTATTCCATTCACTAAATATCAAATGGATTTGAAGATTGATGCCATTTTCAAACATCAGTCTCAAAAAGATAGAGCGTTATTCCCTGGTGATGATGCTCGAGAGTTTTGGCAGAGAGCTAAAGACAGAAATACTGAAACAGCTCGAGAATTAGGCTCATTAGGTCTGCCCAAGTTCTTTGGAGTTGAAGCTTTTGTAACTGTGAAACCAGACTCCATTCCAGAGTAACAACTTTAGGTGAAAGCTTTTTCTGGATTCAAATTAATTCCGGATGATGATAATAGAATTAAATTGATTAAAAATAATGTCATTAAAAAAGTATGCATTAATTATTATATTATTAATATTTATTAATATGTGAATAATCTTACGATCATATAATTCCGAGCTTTTATAGATGTCATTTACAACCTTCAAAAATTCAAAAAAATGAAGAAATTGGTTGTTGCTTGTGCAGGATATGGTTCTGCTCGTATGGTAGCTCGGAATTGCAGTTGGGCCAAGAATGAAATGATTCAGAGTATATATACATGTCCTCCAATGATGAGAAGGTCTTTCTTTTCTCTATTCAAAAAGAAAAAGAGTTCTTCCATATCTGAGCCTTTTTTGAGGAGCGAACAGCTTGCTGAAAAGTACACAATACATGGTTTTGAAGTTAATGATCCATACTATAAATTATCCTTCAATGAAGCTGCTCTTCAAGATTATATCCATCAAGAATCGGAATATTATGAACATTATTTTGAAGAACATAAAGAAGAAGTCAAACGCGTAAAAAAAGAGTTGAAAGATATGCAACAAAATTATATTTCAAGAAATGTATATAGATATAGTGAAAAATTACTAATCTCAGATATTGAAACAGCTGGTGAATGGATATTGATATCATTTAATTTTGATGAATATATTGCCAGAATCCCAAAAAGTGCAATACCCAAAGAACTAATTTTTTCAGAGTCCTTTTACCGAGATGTTTGTCAAACATTTGCAAGCAGACATTTATCGAAGAGGTCCTTACATTCAAAAACTCTCTCACTTGCGTATTCAAATTTAGAGGTCATTTATAACAAGCATGAGTTTACTTCCGAAATTGAAAAGTATGTGAAAAAGAATGCCAAGAAACTTTCAAAAAATGGAAGCTTATCATACAAAATTATGAAGGAAAAATCTTCACATTGCCTCAAATATGCTGCAACTGTTGTGGACATCAATTATCGGTTGTTTGTATTTATAAAAAGCGAGAAAAAGCTGCTCCACGTCATTGATGACATTCTCAATATTTCTAACTTTGAATTGAGTCCTGAAGCGAATGGATTCGGTTTGTTATTCACTACGACGGATGAGAAACACAGAACAAGCAAAATTTTTCATCGATTTTATAGAAATTATTCGTTCGATAGTTTTGAAGAACAGTTAATACTTGAGGAGAATGACGACAGGTTTTTCATTGATATTGGATGCACTAAAGCAAATACGTTCAAATACATTTCGATTAACAGCAAGAACACAACAGAGGTACATCTACTTCACTCAGATGGAAATGGAAATTATTCTCGCACATGTCTTCATAGTAGACAGAATGGAATTCAATTTTTCTTTGAACATCACAAAGAGACAGACACTTTTTTCATCATTTCTAATTCCTCACCAAATACAGATTTGGATATTTACAGAGCTTCAGGATCAGACGTGAGAAACTCTTCTGGTGAAACCCCAAAAACATTGATCTATCGTCACAAGAGTGATCAGTCCATTCATGAAATTGATATTTTCTCAAAATATCTGGTGGTATATATTGTAGAAAATAGTTTAATCAAGCTATTGAAATATGACATTGCAAATAACAAATTTGAATACCTTCCCGTGGTTCCAGACACACACTATATTGAGCTTGGAGCAAATTTAGAATATCACGAAAACAGGTACAATGTGAAATGTCACTCATTGCTCCATCAAGATCCTATCAAAGTGAGTTATGATCTTGACACCAATAATCTCATGAACGTTTTCAATCCATCCTCATCATCATCATTAGAACATGGTAGCCACACGAATGAAAACTCGAATCTGATATGTGAATGCACAGAGATTGGAAGCAATCACATTCCTATCAAAATACTCTATGATAAGACTAAAATCAAACCTGATAGCAAATGTTTTGTGGTGGGATATGGAGCATATGGAACTCATCTCATGGAAGATTTACAAGTCTCGAGTAACACATTATACTATTTCTATAGAGAATACTTTTTGAAAAGAGGATACATGTTTGTTTTTGCACATGTGAGAGGAGGTAGAGAAAATGGCTTGTCTTGGTATCAACAAGGAATTAAGGAACACAAAATGAATAGCATGACTGATCTCAAACAAGTCATGGATTATATGGTGAATGTGAGGAACATGACGAGAAATGGAATGTTTATTGGGAGAGGAATTAGTGCCGGAGGATTATTGATGATGTCCACACATCTCATGTTTGAGTCTGAACAATTGTTTAAATGTTTGGTGTTAAAAGTGCCGTTTTTGGATGTTCTGACAACCATGTTGGATGATTCGCTTCCATTGACTGAGCATGAATTTGATGAATATGGAGACCCAAAGAGAGACATACATATTGCCATGACCATGATGAAATATTCACCCTACCACCTTCTCCTGACATCTTCTGTAAATCAGTTTCCTTCTCTATTAATGACAGCAAGCCATGACGATTTTCAATGCCCAATTTGGAACGTTGCAAAAACAATGGCTGCAATTCGAAACAAGTCGAAAGAACCCACAAAGAGTCATCAGCTCGTTAAGGTTCACCACATGGGTCACGCCGATGAAGTTTTCACAAGAACCATGCTCGACGATGTGGCCAAGGAGATTGTTTTCATTGAAAAAGCATTTAAAGAGGATTGAATAAGGATTTAATTTTTCGACAAAGTAAAATGTTTAATACAGATCAATATTATTAGAACCAAGGATAATAGATTGGATCTTTCATACACAACTTTTCTGCAGAAGATGCTTGTTGGATAAGCTCATAAACCTTGTAATTGAGAGGTGGTAGATCCAAAAGACTGGTAGCGTTTGCGAAAGGTGTGACAGTCATTGATGACGTAGCAGTAGTGGTTGTTGCGCTGCTCGACATGGATGGCGTTGATGGAGTTGTGATGGAAGAAGGTGTTGATACTTCACTTGTTGCACTTTCAGAGGTTGCAGTATCTTTCTTTGATTTCTTCTTCACTGGTAATGTTTGAGGTGGATTGCAGCTTAAGTGAGTTGGAATGGCTGGAGCTAATTCTCTAACCATTTCAAGAATGTGGTCGACATTTTGCTGAACGCAACTTCTCATCAACTCATCGTTAAATAAAAATCTATTTTCTCCAGTAGGTGTACTACTCTCATTGCTCAACAGATCAACATTAAAGTTATGATAGGAGATCAATTCATCTCTAATAAATAGTTGCATTAATGTTTCAAATAAATCCTTATTTTCAGAGAGAGAACAAGCAACAGCAGACATGGTATTCAACAAATAACCTTCAACACCAAATTGAGAAAGGAATTGAGAAATATTTCTAGTGAATCTGAATGGTGTTGGATCATCTCTTTGAATAATACCACTTGATTTGTGCATATTAGGTCTATAATCAAATTGCATTAAATGTCCGCTATTCTTGGATATTAATATCTTGTATGGATGTCTGTCCTTAGTGTGTAAGAGATGACTGAAAATATTATAAACTCCTGATTGTACTCCAAATGTCTTTCTTATGCTATAAAATTCAGACCAACTTGGACAAATACTTCTAATATAATTTAACAAAATATCATCTGGTATCTTGTCACTTTGTTCCACAAAGGTTTGATAAACATTGAGCTTATTCTCAAACTCATTGATATGAGTTTTGCATGCCTTGTCCATTTCCTTCCAATATTTAATAAGTGGAGTATCAATAGATTTACCAATAGACTCACAATAATCATAGAATATATCCTCCAAGGAAATGAGTTCATAATCTTTGCGTACGAGACGAATTCTTTGATTTGTGGTCACAGTTATAGGATATTCAATATGAATGTTGTTGTGACTTCTTGCAGTTCTGTCCTTGTCCAATAACCGATTAATGTGTCTTATCAAAGATGAGACTTTTTCTTCTGTTTTCAAAGTAAGTGGCTCAGCATTGCTTGTGGATTGAATAAAGAATCTAAAAACTTTTCCTGAGACACTTCTCAAAGCAATAACTCTTTCATTCTCCTTGTTCTTTCTACCTTTCATACTCACAGAAGGTAACAGACAAAGAATCTTTTCATGTCTTTCTGAGAATGGCTCTCTATCACTTGTGAGCTCATATTGGCCCGGTACTTCCAATTCTACATTGGTTTTATGCTCCAATAATTTAGGTTTTTGATTTTCAATTCCAATCTCAGTTGGTAACAGATTAATCTTTCGTCTAAAGTAACAAATCCAATGTTTAAGATTTTTAGTGAGTTCTAATAAATTTCTTGGACCCACTGCATCCAATGTCTTTTCAACATATTTCAAAGATTTAGCCATGTCTCTTCTTTCTTTTCTTGGAAGAATATCTGTAATGACATTGCTTTGACAATCAAGAATAAATTGAGGTTTTGGAACAGGTTGAGGATTTGTAGATTGTGCAGGTGGATCTGCAAAGTACGTATCTGCAATTCTTTTGGCATAATCTGTCAACTCCTTTGGAATAAAGTGAAGGTCATCTTCCTGAGAGTCTTCATCTACCATAGTGTCAGCGTTTTCATAAATGTTAAAAGTATATGCCTTATCAAGCATTAATTCGAGAGATTTGGTCAATTCTTCCTCACTTTCCGATTTGTATTTGGTTAACTCCTTAAACATGCTTTCTAAATCACTGAACAGCACCTTGTTACCATCATGCATGATATCGTCAAGTTTCCTTCTAATCTTTGTAAATGTTTCCAAATACACAGCATTAGGACCTGCTGGAATATTTGAGTCACCACTAGACGTTCCACTCTTATTAATAATTGAAACATGAATATTAGCACTACTACCTCTTAAAGGAGCTGCCGTGTTAGGGTTGGATTCTGAACTAGATGGATTGGTTGATCCAGCAGTACTAGTTGCAGTCGGTTGACACTTTTTAGAAATTCCTGATAACAATTCTCGAAGATCATGAACAAAACTTCTAAATGTATGGAAAGCAGCTTGTGGGAAGTTGTATAAAACGGCCTTTAACAATTGCTTTGCGATTGAAGCTTCACACTCCCTTCGATGCAACATGGTGAACAATTGCTGATGCCATGGAATCCACATCCAAGCTGGAATATCGTTAATACACTTCTCAGCAACTCTATGAAGAGGATAATCAACATTAGATCCACCCTTGGTCTTATCATTTGAAGCAGGTTCATCGTAGGAAAGTAACCACAACACTCGACCAATATATTGTCGAACAGTAGCTCCAGAAGCTTGAATCGTTTGATGATTTGTAGCGCCTCCAGAATATCGAATTGCAAGTAAATAGGCAGCAACACAATTTTCTGCAAATTCAAGAGCTGTCATGGACTGAGTTGGGTGTTTGGTTGAATTTTGCTTTTGACGTTGATGTCTTGTTGGTGAATTCCATTTCTCTACAAATAATTTATCCAAAACAAGAGCCCATTGGAAGAAACTCTTTCCCCAAGCAGGTGTACTTGTCACAGAAGAAATGAATTTCTGTTCTTGTGGGAAGTATGAAATAGATTGAGCAAATGTTTGATAACTTTCATCATATCTTCCACAAGTGGAAAATACTTCTCCTCTCAATCTTAAAATTTCCATCTTTTGAATGGTCTTGATCTTGGTGTTTGCAATCGTGTCAGATTCAATATAATCCAATACATCATTGTATCTTCTATCTTTCATTAAACTTTTGATCACTTCAATGATTCGAACAAAGACTTCACTTGTTTCACTTGTGAGCGTTGGTAATAGCTTTCCAGTTTCTGCAAGCATCTTCAATGCTGGCTCAATAAAGTTTTGTTTTCGAGCTATTTTGGCAAATTTGTGAAGAGACCAAATAGTTTCATTGAGAAGAAGAGCTCTGTGATGACTATACTCTTCCTTCTGATCAAATCTTTCAATGGCTTTCTTCAACAAGTGACATCTCCAAGTAAATATGTCATTCCACACAGTAATATCCTCATATTTGTTTGGAAGTCGATCTCTCCAAGTGGTTAAAAAGCCTTTCAATTCATGTGTTGTGAGAGGTCTTTTGGTGTCATTAAGAAGAGAAGCAGACTCATTCAACTCATACAATTGTTGAAAGCATTGTAACATGGAGGTGTGATTTCCACAAATAAACGAAGGTAAGGCACACCATCGTTGAAGAGCAAGTTGTTGAGAAATTGCAAATACATCTCCAGCATCTGATTCTTTGTCTTGCATGATCAAATAGGAAATATGATAAAACTTCATGAGTTGATTTTCCAGAGATTGATTCTTCTGGAACAATTCCTTCATTTGTGCCCATTGTCCATTTTTCCACAAACATTCCAAATTAAAGTAACCATGAGTGCCAGGAGCAGATTGTGAAAATTTTGTCAATTCGTCCCATTGTTGCAGCTTTTTAGAGCAGATAATCCAATGATCTTCCCACAGCTGTAACTCTGTGTGTGAAACTTTCTTCTTAATGTTTCCTTTATGAAAAGCGTTAATCAATTCTTTAAGTGCTTCTTGGGCTTCACACCAATTATTTCTCTGCTCTAACGAAAGCACCAATTTCGTATGATCTGTAATATCACAACATCTAAATATTCCACAAAGAATATCATCCTCTTTCAATACTCTATAGAGTTCAGTCAGAGAATGACACACTTTTTCAGTCTTTTCATCAAAAGATCCAGTAGTAAATAGAAAACGTAGTTCTTCTTCAAGCAATGGAAGAGTAAGAGACCAAGCATTGAATGACTTTCCTAAGAATTTGAGTGTTTCTGGGTGAATAGATAAATAGTTGAATGTGGATAAATCTCTCTTTTTGTTCAACACTGCATTGTTGATCCCCAATAACAGTGCTTGGATCACATTTGGATATTTGGTGTATTGTTTCGAGTGATAATCGATCGAGACCAATTTTTGCATTTGAATTTGAAGGAGTGGTTTTTCATCATTACTCAAAGAATTCCATGCTAAAGCAAAGAATTGTCCCCAAGTCTTTAAGACCATCGTCGTGTTGCTTCGGATTAGAGTCTTGAGAGATGTAATAATGTTACAAGTCTTGATGGAAGATATGGATTGCAAGAATGGCTCATGATCTTCAAATATTTTTCTTAATTTCTCCAAAGCTGCAGTCGAGGTAACATGAATGGATTCTCCTCTGGCACTTGTCATGACAGGTTTAGTAGAAATAGGTGGGAATTTAGCCATCTTGGGATGGCATGTTAATTTTTCCTCTTGTTCAATGGATTCAAGAAGCAACTCTAAGGCATGCTTAATCCAAAACCGATCACTCAATGGTTCCCATTTTTGATGATCAATCACAAATTGAAGTCTCTTTTGTACTGTTTTTTCAATCCTTTGATTAAGAATAGAAATAAATCTTAATTTGATGTCTCTCAAATCTTTTGATTCAATCTTTAGACCGGCCATAAAGCAAGATTCAATCTTCTTTGCATAACTAATCTCTGAAATTTCATCAATTTGTTGATACAATTCAGCCACTACATTAAAGTACTCTCTTCTGAATTGATTGAAATTTTCAATTCCTAAATTCTTAACCAATTCACTCGATTGAGATTGTTCACTCAAGTAACCCAACCGAGCAAGGAGATTCGCCTTCTGAAGATCTTGTATTTTGTATCGTTTGCTGAGTGTCGTTGTTTGTAATCCATCATCAAGTTGTAAGGTATAACTTCTTTGTAGTTCAGAGGATGGATTTGTTCGTAACCAGTTGAGAACAATATCCATAACAAGATGAAGAATATTGTAACTATAAGTCTCTGCCTTTTCAATTATCTGATAGATTGATGATCCATAATGTTTGAATACTGCCTCGTGATTAACTCCATCTGCAAGGAAGGAAAGACATAATTCAATATATCCCAAACAAACCTCTCTCCAAGAACTCTCTTGAGATGCTGGAGGTACATTCTTAAGTGCCTTTCCCAACATTGAACATACTGGTTTTGAATAGTTTTGTTTGATTTCATCATTGCGATAATGTTCACATAATACATGTAAGAGAAGCAAATGTCCAAATGATCCATACACCAAATGTTGAGATATATCAATCAATGGATTTCCAGCTGGTTGTGGCAAATCTTTAGCGGCATATTTCGTAATGGTTTCTTTCACAGAATTCCAAATAGTTTCATAAAACTCTTTCACATCCTTGTCATTGGATTTGAGAGGATCGAAATGTTTGAAAAGTGTTTTAAAAAATATGCAAACATTTCTGTTCACATCCACGTAGGGAGTAGTGAGGAATGGAATTAATCTCTTGGCAAATTGAGCATTCAACTGAATGGTATCTCTATTCATTTCCACAAGTAAATTCATCAACTCAAGTATACAAGATAGTGTGAATGAACCAATCGTAGGTGCACTTTCTTCCGAGTTGGGGAAGAATTTTTCTGCTTGAGTCAATGAAACAGGTTCATCTTTCCACAACTGGAGAGAACGTTTTAAAATTTGAATACATTCCTTATAGAGAGCTTGTGGCTTTTCTGATCTCGTTTGGCTCACAAAGATACACATTCTAATAAGAAAGTTCAAAACAATTCCTCTGGATTGAGGTTTTAGAGTAAATTCATGAGTCGATGATGATGCAATTGGAGAGAGAGAAAGTGAAGTTTCTTCATCGACCTTTCGTTTTTTGACTCCGCTGTCATCGGATGATAGATCGGTCTGTTCGACCTTTCGTTTCTTTTCATTATCATCCTCCTCTCCATAGAGTCTCTTTTTAGCTGCTCTCTCTTCCCAAGAAATAATGACATCCGCTAATTGAATGTAAAGTTTCTTATTCTCAAGATTAATGGAAGAGTAACCAATTTTTGAAAGAGCATTAATCATCTTGTAAACAAAACATTCTCTGGAATCATAAAATGAATCAGCATGTCTGATAAATATGGTCCAAATGTTTGCCAATTGATGAGTAGATGGCATATCATCTAATAATGTTTGTTTTGTGGATCTAATCCATTGAGGGAACTTTTTAGGTTCATTTGCCAATTCTGCCTTTTTGACTGGCTGCATGACCATATCGAGTGCAGGAAGTACCAAAGATTTACTATCCTTCTTGCAATCCTTTAAGAATGCAATATATACGGGTTGAATCAATTTGGGAGGGAGATCAAGTTTACTCATTAAATGAGCAAACAGAACGAATGCACATTGGGCTGCAGTAATATCATCCTTACAACAATTGTCATAACAAAATTTGAAAATATTCTTCTCTTTCTTTAAAACATCAAGTTGAGTTGAAGGGAGAAATCTTACAAATAATGTAAGCAATTGTAGCAAATCCGTATTGATTGAATATTTTTCCTTTTCTGTGAAATGAGCAAAAGTAGAAGAAAAGAGAACTTTTTCATCAATAAATCTACGAAGTAAATCGGTGTTAAGTTTTTCTTTCTTAGCAATACCCCTAACAATAGGAATGGCAATATGTTTGATAATGTCTGATTTCATTTGGAACGATCCCTCTTTTTTGAATTCTTCCAAAAATTTGTTCAAAATGGCTTCTTGTCTCTTGAGATTGTATTCACCTCCCACTTGAAGTTCAAAGAACTCCATCACAAAGCTCAAATCCATAACTAGTCCACAACTGAATACTTTCACCATGTTAAATAAGGTATCCACTTCATTCTCATTATTGTTGCAGTAGGAAATCATTAGTTTGAGTAATTTTTTGGTAAAACGAATGCGTTGAGTCTCCGTTATATATTGGCCTTTTGATGTTGTTGTTGTATCTGAAGAGAGATCCATAGCATTTGGATTTTGAGCCAATTGTTGTAAATAGAGAGTCCATATTCTCAGCACTTGATCAAATATTTCACGGTGTGCAGCAAATAAAGTTGGATTGAGTTTGAAAATATTTCCTACCAATATGAGAACATTGTTTGGATCAGAAGCAAACGACTGGTTCTCAGTAAATTCCACATGATTCACGCTACTCAAAAGATTGGCGATGACATTCGGATGTGCAAATAGATACGCTCTCAAGTTAGTGGCTTTTCTCGAGTTTAGAACCTCTATAATAACTTTCAGAGTTCTCTTTGTGGAGAGAGCATAACAGAATTGTTCTCCACTTGTCTCAAATAAGAACCTGATGGCCTGTTCTGGATAAATGTTCAAATACTTGGCTAATGGAGCAACAAAAGGATTCAAGCTCTTAATTTCGTCAGCCCAAACCGATTCTAAGAGTAAAACCAACTTGACGAGTGCTGGTAAATGATCGGATGTATCTGGAATGATTGAAAATAGGGCAACAATTTCAGCAGCAACGACTGGTTTTTCTTTTTGATTCGAGATGTGTTTGATTTGTTGCTTGTCGGCCCACTTTTTTAAATGTTCTAAGAGAGTAGATGCTGCCTTCGAGAGCTGAATTTGAATGTTAGAATTCACTTTTAAGAAAAAGGCAGCATTGTGCACGAAAAGGCAAAAGTCAGTTGTGTGTACTTGACTAAATTGGTGCTGAGTTGTCTCAATGCTTGTTGAAGAGAGTCTTTGGGTGGTTTGAATTGTGACATGTATGTCAGTAGTGCAGTTTTTGCAATGGTCACGACATCCTTGTTATTGGCCACCAAAAATTTGCAAATAGTTTCAATCATGATTTTGAGTTGATCCTTATTACTGTCCTTGTCATTGTACCTAAGCTCTTTGCTGACAATGGCCTCTCGTAATAGCTTGAGAGCAACCAATTTTGCGGCGAGAAGTTTTTTCTGATCCTTGGTATCTTTTGAATAAAGTTCATCATTTCTCAAAAGATTAAGTGCCTTTGTGAATTGAGAGGAAATATATTGTCCAGGAACATTATTGTCTCTTGTTGAAAGTTGAAGTACAGAATATTCCAATGATGTAGTGACGAGTCCGATATCTTTCTTTCCAGATCCATCATCTTTTTGATCCTTTTGGGACTGAGAAGCATCTGGTCTAAATCGATCAATGATGGATGAGAGTGGAATGTTCATCAGATCTGAGCTCAGTCGCAAGAGTGATTGAGCAATCTTTCGAATGTGGTTTAAAGGTGAGGAAAGTTCAGAACAGATCAAGCTCAAAAGTGATCGTTTCTTGAACACAAGATCCTTTCCCATTTTCTCCGCATGGACCATATATTCACCCTCTGCAAGAGTCGAAGGAACTTGCGCTGCTTGAATGTATTCAATCTTTTCAGAAATATTATTGCTGAAAAGTAATGTAAAATCTAACAAGGGAGTATGGTAACAGGACCGAATGAGAGTCTCAGCTGCCATGATGGTGATTTGATTGGTGTGAGGAATCATATGAATCGGTGGATTTTTCAAAGAGAAGAATAGACCTTTCAACATATCACTCTCATAATGGACAAGCCATACAGGAGTAATACTTTCACATAAAAACAAAATTCCTCTTGCACCAACACATTTCTTGTACCATTCGGGTTGATAGAGAGATTTTGTGAATCGTGATTGAAGTCTTTCCCAAATGCCAAATTGGATCACCAAGTCTGGTTCGTCATTACAAATTTCATAAACATAATCTGTGAATAAACCAAGAATGAAATCTCCAACATTGACATTTGGAGATGCTTCAGTACAATCTTCTTCATAAACATCAAGAAGAACTTCATAGAACCAATCATGATTGATTCTGAACTTTGAAGGTTCCTCATAGTTGTATGAATTGAAAATGGCAGTAATAGCAAAATGTCGAATCAAATTCTTTGTAAATTCAATACACTCAGTGAGATTCTCCTTAACAGCATAGCTCAGGAATAAGAAAATACTCTTTAACACCTTGTTGAACATTGCAATCTCACCTTCATATCGCATTGTTGTCTTACATTCTTGAACATTGACTTCATCATGATAATAATTGTCAATCTTTGGAGAAGATGCTGAAATGTGGAAATATTTCTTAATTGGCACATGTTTGGTAGTAAATTTGAAATCATCTGGAACAGCAAGTTTCTCTTCTGTTGTGGATATCATTGAGAGAATGCACGTTTTCAAAAAATCAAAGGCGCTCTTCTTTGTTTGGATATCATTATCTCGATCTAGACACATATCAATAGATAAATCTACCAAGTCATCTGCTGGGAGCATGTTCGATTCATCATCATCATCTTGTGTGAAGATCATATTGTTATTTCCTTTGAAATTAATATTAAAGAAGAGTGAATTTGAATGTTCCTTGGTATTGACTGATGTCAATTCACTCATATACTGTCGATGAGTACCTCCTAATTTTGCAAGTAATCGCATTGCTGTCGCTCCATTGGCATGATGTTGTGGTTTTAGATGAGTAAATAATGCTTTGAGAAGGTCTGGAATAACAGGTTTCAAAATTGCCTCCAAAGATTCATTACGTAAGCTTGTTACCCACAAATCCAAATTTCTTAATGCAGCAGTCGTTGCCTTCTCACTAGCACCAGGTTGCAAAGCATACAGAATTGGTTTGATCAATAAATGAAGGTAAGGACATAATACGTGTAACTTAGATGGAACTGTCAAACAAAGTTCAACAAATAAATTTCTTGTTTCCCTGTCGTGAGCATTGTTCACCAAATCAGAGAGCTTTTCTAACACTGTTGGAAGTAATTGTGCAAATTCTTTGCAAAGTAAATCAAACTTGGCTGATAAGATGGAATTAAAGAGAGACCGTAAAATCAAATAATAATCCATGCACTCCTTGAATTTGGAAGCATATGTAAAACATGACGTTACAATTGAAGTCATATGATTCTTGAGAACAGACTCATTCTTTGGAAAGGTAACTGTGGATCCAAAAACTAACTTGAATAAATTATGCATATATTGGGCTTCTTTTCGATCCTTTGCAATTTTGTCCATTCTCTTCAATAAGAATTTAAGTAAAATCTCTGAAAATACAGAAGCAATATTTGGATTGGATGATAAAACATTTGCTGGTATGTGAATAAAAGTCATTGGCCTTCCATCCAACAACTTTTTGTAGAGATACTCAAATTGAGTTTTAAATATCTCTGTGAAAAGTGGAGCCGAGAGAGATGTATAAAGAGAGGAATAATTGTTGAAAATGTCCTTCTCCTCTTCGACAATCTTTTGTTTGGTGATTGATTCAACATTCGATGTATCTTCACTAACCAGGTTATAAATATCAAAGCAATCAAGTCCATATCTGAAAAGCTTATTCAAGAGTGGTAATTCTGGGAACTTGGATCTTTCATCTCTTGGTACAGAGGTGAAAACAAGTACTATCGTCTTCAAACCGAATATGAGATGTTTAAACATGGTGCAGCAGTAGGTAATATCATTCATAAAATTCTCATTGAACTTGTATGGACTAAATGGCAATATCATAGAGTTATCATTGGCATTTTCAGTCGATATTGGCTTTTTCTTTGAGTTGGATATCTTTTTGATGAGCTTGGAAAGATATTTAACCTTCTGTACAAATGCTCGGATAATACTCAAAAGTATTTCCTTGAACCTGATGATGTGAGGCATATTCACCAGTTCTGAAATGTTGGTGGTGTTGGTAGTAGTAGTAGTATTATTATTAGGAGGAGGAGGAGGTTCTGTGGTGCTGCCATTTTCTGATGATGATGGTTGTTGTTGTTGTTGAATTTGCGCAGCAATATTTTTGTAAATGGTTTGAGACAATGAAACCAATAAACCCACAGCCAGTGCATGAATACCTAATCCTAGAGAGGTATCACATAATAACTTAGTGCAGAATGTTATGCATGAAGACATTTGTGTTGGAGTGAAATCAATCTTGTTTTGATTGAAATTGAGTATTTCTAAAACTGTGGAATAGGCTGATGAACGGACAGTTTCATAGGCTGATCTACTTTTTCCAATTAAAACAGAGTCATTCGTCAGGTCATTCATGTAGGGCATAAAATGAGAACAAATTCCACTGAGTTCGTTTTGAGCCAATGGAATTTCATTGACAATGTGTCTCATAATCAAAAACATTTCCTTTCTTGGTGTAATACATTCATCAGGACATTCCTTCAGGCATTTAATGACAAATCTAGGAATATCTTTCACATAGCCATTGTCATTTTTCTTATCGACGTATTTGGATGTATAAACAAGGAACGATATTGTCTTCACTCGCAAAAGCATGAAATCCTCCACTCGTTCCTTTCCAATAGGTGATGCCATAATGTCATCAGAAACAGCAATGTCATAGTTAAAAATGTCATGCACTTTCTCGAACAGTGTGGTAAAACTGGTTGTATCTTTCAAAGGACTGCTTCTAAAGAAATATATAATAAATATAGGTAATTCTATCATAAATTTGCAACTTTCAATGCAAGGTATTAGATAATCCCTCGTATCGTAAGCTTGATCTGAAGGTTCTGTAATAATGGCATCTCCAGTAGATAAATTATTTCTTTTGGTTTTCTTCCTAAATATTTTTCAATTGTTTTTTCGAAATTTGCATAAAATTGAAGAAAAATGTCGACTACAGGTTGAACAATAGTTGGAAGGCTAGTTTTGAATGACTTGTAAATATCAATTATGAGTCGAATTGCCACAACTCCGTTCAACTCATTGTCCGTTTTTAGCACTTTGATTAGTGAGTTCATGAGCAGAGTGAGTTCTTCTCTTCTTCCATTTCTCTCTTCATATAACTATTTAAAAATTATAGATGAGTGTCAATAATAATTATTTGTTGTCAAGTAGTGATATTAAAATTCAGATCAATGTTAATAAGTTTCAAAATAGTGACCAATTAATCAATCATTGATAAAACTTACTTCTGTATGTGGCAATTTTTGAATAATTTCAATGATCACTTGGCGAAGTAGATGATCTTTGTCATCTTTTCTGAATTTAGGCTTTACTCCATCATTTAGGAACTCCAATAATGGTTTTAACATTGTAGAAGCAAAGTCAAAACATTCCGGTAACGAAGCACTCTCTAAATGATCACGCAACTCAATTAACAACTTTGTGAGGTTAACAGTGTCTAGAGTTGTGTAATGATTATCGGGTATGACAATAATCGATCGAAATTAACTTACCATTAGCGTTTTTGAGGCTTTCAAAGCTTCTCAGATACGTTTCAAAATTCAAAGTTTGAGCAGCTGGCGATCCAGAAGAAGGAGCAGGATTTGACGATGATGAGGTTTGAGCCTGCAGGTTTGCTTGATGATCGTGGCTGCTCATTTTTTTGGTGGGAGTTCGACGCAAAAAAAATGAACACAAATGAAGACGTTGTAATGAATAGTATCAACCAAACATTGATGACCCACTCAGAAGCTTTCGGAATCATCTTTAAACATATTGAGAATTTCTCAAAAACATTGGACGGATTATCTAACCACATCAATAATCGGAAACAAAAGGTAAAGTCAGTTAAATTAGTCTCCGACAGCAACCAACCAATTAAACCTAAACAACCTCTTCCTCCAAAAACAACACTCATAGAACAAACTCCATCCCCTGCACATCCTTATCGAACTGATGGACCATCAAACCAAATATCTAAAATCAAAAATATTACACATCCAACAAACAAATCGAAAATCAACAATCAAAATAAGACAACAAACTTCATCACCAACACAAACCTCACCAAACCAATTGAAACAAGCACAAACCTCATCAAACCAATTGAAACAACTTCAAAGCCCCAAAGTCAACCCCAGCTTCAATCTAAGAGCCCACCTATCAACACCAGCTTCAACCTGAATGAATCGCAATCGTCATACTTGCAAATAGCCAAGACAGCCAAGAACATTACATTTGATCCAACAAAAA